AGATCCATAAGAGGTTTTTGGGTTAGATCGCGTAAATATAAATGTGTCGTTAAACCCGCTGCGACCACCCAACACAGCCAATTTGTAAAGTTTGTCAAGTAAACAAAACATGCCAATTCGTTACTAGTACAGCACACCGGTGTGCTGGCGAGTAAATCAACAACATTCACAATTCGAGCACAACATTTCACCAGTAATTACAACCAACATCATCAGGCGACAGTCAGATGTGGAGAAATTGAACGACATTTATATTTCACGCAACCTAACTCAAAAACCTCAATTATGGATATTTGTCGCGAAAGCCTATGTGTTAAACGGACTACTCCCAAGGGATACGAAAAAAATGTGGAGCATGCAGGGCGATTTGGTCGATGCTAATAATTAGGTCAACACGATCAGGCCACTACTCTGTTAGAGCATTCAGTAACGATGGAGGGAAGATGAAAGATGTAGACTAAATTAGATGGTGGGATGGGAATGAGAAGATTCAGAGGCAAGAGATTGCAAAGAGTGGAATTAATAGGGGGGGGGGGGGGGGAGGCTTTTGCCCAACATACAGATGGGCAGGCAGTGTCCTCACCATGCATGCAAAATGCTAGCAGTGGAAATGTTCTAACGTTTAAGTAGTTTGCATATGCCCTGCAAGCACAACTTAAAATGCGTGCTTAAGGCGAAATCTGGAGAAATCGGCTCTGATACTGATAAGCAAACACAGCCTCCTCTCTGGGGAGCTCATTGCTGCAAGATCTGTTCATGCTTCAGCTTCATATATATTCTTTCTTATATATACTCAATCTATATTTATGATTTGCCAGAGGTGTTGACACATTCATTGTAGTCACAATGCAATAAAAATCAATTACAAACAGATTCAACTTCTGCATGAATGTAATTTTCAATCGCTCTATATTGAAGGGTGATTGCCTGAAACGTCAGGTTTCTTGTCATAAAAATTCCTCAGGTGAACTGGAATTCACTTAATTGTCATTAAAACCAGCACAAAATTAACAGTGAAAATAACTTAAGCTATTCAATGCAATCAATGGTTTTCTTGTGCCACATTCCCATGACCACTGGATAGTAGGCTGGTGCAGTTCAAAACATGGGTATCATAAAAACATGGGTCCGGCCCGTATTCCCTTAACAGGTCAGCCCAGCAACAACTGGGCTACATGGCTCACTTTAACCACACTGATTAGCTCCCGTTTATAAGGGAGATACCACGTGGTCACCAAGGCCACCCTCACAACCAATCGTGACATGACGAGCACAACGCAGTGACGGTGCTAGTGGTCAATAATGTTTTTGCAAAAAAAATGCTTTACAAATAATCTAACACAAGCAGAAATTAAACTTTGTTAAACATTTTATAAAATGTAAAACATATAACACAATCATTACATTGGTGAGGGTTATTATTATTATTTTGCCTAAAGCATCTGGCAGTTGACCAGCATTGGTTCAAGCAAGCCTGATACGATGTTGAAACCGGTCCCGGAGCTTGCGTGTTTTGAATCGATGCTGCTGAAATTATGCACCCCAAGGCCGTGAGGCTGACGGTTGTGGAAAAATACATTAAAACAATAAGTGGAGAGATATATAAGGAGTTGTATTGTCTGCTATTAAATGTACGGGGCAGAGTGCAAGGGTCTGAGTCCACAGAGGCGTGGATGGCTCATTAAGTGGTAGGGACAAACATTGACCCGCTTGTCTCTTCTTGAAATGGCCCAGCACGGTTTGAGCCTGCTTTCCAATTGCTGTGATAACATTGCATGAGAAGCAATGCAGCCTTGACTATTATCCCTATCAGTCTAAATCCAAGAGCGGGCTATTTTTTGCACTTCGATTGCACTATTGATTGCTGCCTGTCAGTTTTAATTGGGTTCATAAGCTATTTTGTTTAGAATTTTGTACTTCAGCATTGTTGAAATGTTAACTCCCTCGCCTGGTATGAAGGTCGTGGTTTTATCCCGACCATGACGGCCGTATATATTTGGAGGTTGCATGTTCTCCCCGTGGTTGCGTTAATATTTCTCTGGGTCCTCTGGTTTTTCCCTCCACATTTAGAATCATGCGTTTAGAGTATTTGGCTGCTTTAAATTTCCACAAGTCACTTCGTTGATCACTTCTGAAAAAGCGCTATACAGTTCAGTGGGTCTTACTTGGTAAAATAAAACATAGTTTAGCAAGTTTATTTTAAAAGGGATTTTGGACACAAAACGGATCGAAGCAGCTGCTGCCAACAATATTAAGAGCTGACAATCGATTTGACCGCAATTTACTCAAACGTGGCCGCATTGTAAAAAATGTTCAGTCTAAGACTGACTCTTGCGGGCAAACACTTCCCAACTTCTCAATTTTCTTGTGAGAAGCAGTAACAGCTTCCCTAATCGACAGCAGGGTCTCTATCGTTGCAGCCCCAGCCAAACCCTGGACTCGGTTCTGACGCCGTGCGGGGACTCGGTTCTGACGCCGTGCGGGGACTCGGTTCTGACACCGTGCGGGGACTCGGTTCTGACGCCGTGCGGGGACTCGGTTCTGACAACGTGCGGGGACTCGGTTCTGACAACGTGCGGGGACTCGGTTCTGACACCGTGCGGGGACTCGGTTCTGACACCGTGCGGGGACTCGGCTCTGACAACGTGCGGGGACTCGGCTCTGACAACGTGCGGGGACTCGGTTCTGACAACGTGCGGGGACTCGGTTCTGACCCAGTGCAAACCCCGTGCAAACCCCGGGGCCACACACTGGGGTGGAGGCAAGCCCGAATACTTTCCACGGTTAGCGAAAGTGCTCTTGTAAAACCATGCAACTGCTGCGAGCCCGAGCTCTGCGCATTCCTGGAAAGCAGCTATAAATAGGTGGTGGCGATGATAATGGCGGCCATTAGACCTCCGCGAGCAACACGGCAGAGCAAACTTTTTCCAAAACCACAGTCCTATTTTTTTTTCGCCGCTGCTGTCGAACGCGAGAAACAAAGAAACACGAGGAGCATAAAAGAAAGCCATGACCCCCGCTACGTCAAGCAAAGCAATGACCGAGAGTGTGTTCTACCCATCTGGCACTGCTCTTTATTCAATCCAGATCCTCAACATTTTTAAATGCCCAGTTTTCCCCAGGAATGATAAACCTCGTATTTCTCTTTGTCATTGGGGTTTAAAGGGTGCTACGACGAGGAGGAATGCAGCCCCAACATGTTTCGTGGTACAAAAAAAAATAAAAGAAACCGACCCAGATACTTCCACTTCAGGTTTTTTTTTCCCCCGTTTGTTTTTTTATTTAAACAAAGGTCGCCCCCGCAAGCATGGGCGTGGGGTTCACAGGTCAAAAGTTCAACCACAGCTAGCAGACAAACAAGGAGCTGAAGTCCGGCGTGGCATTTCACAAACACACGTTTAGCTGACTGCGCAGCGGCGTCGCGCGTCCTTGCAAACCTCCTCAAACATCAGACTTTGTAAAGTTGTCCCTGGCAACACGACGGAGCATCGGTTTTAAAAATTATAATTTTTGTTTTTGTCCGCAGCTAGGGAAGGGGCGGTGGGGGGTGGCGGAATGTACGGTTCAACCGTAGACGCCAATAACAAGCCGCCGGGCGAGTGTTGCATTTTGCACGCTGCGATATTTTCACCAAAACGCCCCTTATCACGTTAAGCACTCTCCGAGGCGATACAAACAGGACGATTATGAAACTACCGACGCAGAAACAACCTCTACATTCGACTACACCTTGCAGTTTAAGACGCGTTGTTTTTCTCCAGTGCTCTGTTGAACAATGTTTTTTTTTCCACGAGGCATAATGGACACTGAGGGAGCGTCAACAAAAGGAAGGGTTTTTTTTATTTTCATGACTGTGGGACAAGAGGCTGCAGCTCCAACCAAAATGGCCCCGAGGGGGGTCTCGGTTTTGGGAGGGTGGGGGTGTGGGTAGGGGTGGGTGAGCGTGCGGGGAGGGGGCAGACAAGGGGTGGGCCTCCGACACACACAGGGGTACGACGTCAAGAGCCGCACGCAGGCACTCGACAAACACCACTCTAGGATGCCACAGAGACCAGGACGAGAGGATGGGGATGGGAAGAGGGCATCTGTGTTTACGGTTTTTGCCGTGGGAGTTGTTTGTGCTGTGTAACAATTCGCCCCTCCTGTTCCTACAACGATTATACAAAATATTGCTCTTTGGCGTTGCGATTCAATGCATGACTCAATTGTTTTTTTCCCTAATTTTTACCAGGATTCTGGGATGCCGTATTAATTAAAATTATATTGTACAATTGTATTGCACCTTCTCGTGCTTCGAATGCACAGTTTTATCTTTGCATTTTTACAGTTGTGCCTGTATAGTTGTAGTCGCTCCATTGGCTTACGTGCTAAAGTAGCATATTATTTGCACTTGATTTGCATGAATCGTGAATAATGAATTTTCACATGAATGATTCAATACCTTTATCTTGGGCGTATGAACCAAAAAGCATCATCACAAGCATGCATGCACGAATGCTGCCTTGTACAGAGGGGCTGGGTAAGTGAGTTAGCATGGAGGGAGAGGTGGGGCGGCTGCTGCGTTCAGGGAATGCTTCAGAATCTTGACAGGGGGCAGAAATAAACATTAAATTTTCCCTTAGGCATGGCGCATGGCGGGTGAGGCAGGGGTGCGGCAGGCAGAAGGGGAGGGAGGCAAAAGGAGAGGGAGGGAGTAGGGGAGATGGTGGGGGAAGTCTGGCGGGGGAGGGGCGAGAGCACGGATGAGAGGAGGAGGGTCCCCTTGGGGTCGTCCATAATTACCATCATTTTCACGAGCTCACAAAGGCTATGCTGTGGAGGCAGGAGTGCAGGACGCCCCGGACATTTCTATAATCCGACCACGCGCAGAAAGAGATGACACGACCGACAACATTCGAACAAGCGGGCGGGAGGACAAGCAGGAGGAGCGGCGGCGGCCAGTAGGCGGGTTCTCGGGAGGCGAGGAAAAGCTGACGCGGCGTCACGCTTTCACGACTCACCGGTGGGGAGAAAGAGCGTCTGGCCCTGCTTGAGGACGCACTTGTAGCACTTGTCCACCAGGTCACCGAAGAACACCTCGCTCTGGTTGGGCGATGAGCTCCAGCGCTCGTAGCGGGCCAGGTTGGCACTAGACGGCTTGATCAGGTAGAATATCTTCTCGCCCTGCGCGCCGGGAGCCAACCGACAAATGAAAGCCCGTCAGCATGAAAAACCCGGAGAAGGTTGGGTGGCTCAGAGCGCTGGTAGTCAGAATGAGAGATGTGCTCCAGGATTTCTGATTTATGGGAGGAAGTTCGGATGATTCAAATATAATACTTGCTTTCGGATTGATCTGAAAAGTATGACATCATGGGAAATGACATCACGTATTACATATATTCAGTGATTTTCCAAACACAAGTGGTATCAAATGACATCGGATGAGGTCACTTAGCGAACAAGTTCAATTATTACGTAACGTAAGGTATATATATAAAAAATCTGAATTTGTGAATAAAAATCTCAAATTATTAAATACAAAAGCCTGGCCAGCGTGTAAAAATTCATGCAACCGTCTCCATACCCCCACAGAGATTTGATTAACGGATTTTTTATTGGGCCAGTATTTCATAAATGTATAATAACCCACTCTGGTCATGAATCAGAAGAACAGCTGTTCACTTTCCACAATGTGACACTTGGCCACTAAGCCCAGTTTCCTATTACAAAACAATAACCGGTAAATTTAGAGCCATCTCTAGTTCCTCGGGGTGTAACGACTCGGCCCCAGCCACGCCGATTCCGTGACCTCTCCCGATTCCTTTCAAGAATCAAATCTTCGTCTCGTTACCATCTCGTCTGCGTTGCCCGTTTCCCGACTGATACTACACGACAGCAGAGTCCGCACCGCCGAGATACCGAGTTGAAATGCGAGTTTCAGCCACACATTATTAAAAAGTGGATTCTCAAGTGCAGCGGGCTTGATTTTGTCTCAACTCGGTCGCAAACGATTGCACCAAAAATCAATCACATTAAGCTTGTCACTTAATTCGGCTTACTACACAGCTCCGAGGCTCAAACATATTAGTTTGAGTGCCACGAGACGAACATCTTGAGAGCAGGACAAGGTGGGACAGGAAAGCAACCCAAGCATAGACAGGAAACTACTGAATGGACCTCTTTAATAAGTATAATGGTATAAAGTCACTCACTCCGTAACGTAACGATTTAAATGCATATAGAATGTAAATGCACTCCCAAACAGAGAACTCGTCAACAAACAATTGCAGGACTGACTGTATAAATAAGACAATAGAGACAGTAAAAAAGCAATACACATGAGATTGTACAGTGCAGTAAACATCAAGAGATGCTACAATTTCCGTGAAACTTTCAAATGTACATATTAGGGTAAGTTGCCGTTGACCCTACCGGAATATAATTTAGGTGGCTTCTGTCGGCTAGGCTTGTTGGAATAAAAATCTTCATGAGAAAGACGTTCAACTTCTTTGGTTCTTTCGGTAAAGTCACGTAGAATGAGAATAAAATAATATATTTATAAAATAAAATAACACAATAATATTCTCACGACGTTTCGGCCACAACACAAGCGGCCTTCATCAGGTGAAGGGACGAGACTGCCTGGAGGACAGCGCGTTGTGGCCGAAACGACGTTTCGGCCACAACACAAGCGGCCTTCATCAGGTGAAGGGACGAGACTGCCTGGAGGACAGCGCTGTCCTCCAGGCAGTCTCGTCCCTTCACCTGATAAAGGCCGCTTGTGTTGTGGCCGAAACGTCGTGAGAATATTATTGTGTTATTTTATTTTATCAATATATTATTTTATTCTCATTCTACGTGACTTTACCGAAAGAACCAAAGAAGATGAATCCTTGCAGTCACGAAAGCTTTAAATCGAAAGACGTTCAAATTATGGTCAAGCAAGTTCTGGCATATCGTGAGAGATGGGACAGTGAAGAGACGACTTTACCTATGACTAAGTAATGGCTCTTGCTGCAAATCGCCCAAGAGGCAGACACTGGGCCGGAGCTGGGATGATTAGGCCGAACCCTTACCTTGAGCAGATGGTACCACACAGAGGTGCCGCCAAAGTCGATGTGGAAGTCCGTGTAGCTGTCGCGCACGCCCATGAGGCAGTACTTCTGCACGTACGGCCGAGGGAATACCGCGTCCTCGGGCCAGTAGTTCTCCACCCATGAGAGCTTGTGTACAAGTTCGGGCGCTTTCACCAGATCCGACAGCCTGCACGCGTGAACGCACGCCGACAGCAGCAGCAGCGTGGTAAAAGATGATGCAACCAAAAAACACAGATCTTTTATTTTTGTACAAAATATACACAATGTAACATGCATACTGGCCAAACATTCCAATTCTGTTAAAATACCTGCAAATTAATCAAATGGGATTACACGCAGTAACATTGCCCCCTACTGCATAAACTAGACAGGACCCTCCTGAAAGTGGCTTGACTCAGTGAGGCTTTGCCGTGTAAAAAATCGGAATGATAATTGCCGTGTGTACGAGGGGGAGGTACAGTGGCGCAATGGTTAGTACGCACCGCGCTACACACCGTGACCTGAGTTTGGTTCCTGGTAACGGCTAACATTAGTGGCGAGTGATATCCGAACTGGTCCGCGGTACTCTCCTCTTAACCAACCCGCAATGATAAGTGTGAAGTATGGTCGAACAATCTCCATGGCTGACACGGCGCGGGAGACGCGTTCATCCGCCAGTAGATTGACAAAGGGCAGTAAATAATAACATTGTAAGTTTGTCTCTCCAATGGGTTTACAACTCACTAATTGGAGGACAAGGGCAAACTTGAAAAATCAGTGCCTTCAGACCCAATGATGCCTCCTGGATAAGCAAATGACGCTGCTTTTGACGTTGAGACGCAGAAGAGGGGAGCACCTGGTGTCGGAGAACTCCAGGCTGATGATGTTGAGCACCTTCTGCCGCGACGTGCTGTTGTAATACTCGCAGAACTCCTTCATGGTCACCTTGAAATCCGCTTGCCGGTTCACGTCGATCACGTCGATCATCCGGTCCGAGCCTGCGCAACACGCAACGACGCACGGCAGCAGTCAAGAGCGATCATCGGTTTATTCACTGACTCACTCAATTATTCACTTCCTTTACAACTCCCTGAATGCCTGTAATATCCAGCACTGTGGCGGCAAGGGTTGGTGGATCACATATTTTACGAATCTCCCTTCCCATGGGTGTCAAGCCGCCGTATGGCCGGCGCAACCAGGAGAAGACGCAAAAGATGTGGACTCCATCTACTCCATCTGTATGGGATAGTGTGTTGCTCCCTTGCACGTACGGGTTTTATCCAGGTGTTCTGGTCTTTTCCCACATGTAAACACTCATATATATAGGACTTGGGGGAGCCGGAGGTGTGAGGGGGCGGGTTTGGCATCGGCTCTCTGCCTGGTTGCCTTCCTGCATGTCTGTGGTTGTTGGTGCCTCAAAATCATTCTCTCTGAGAGTATTCCAAGTGCAGTGTGTTACAAGTTTATATTATTAACTGATTCGCCAAATCTATCTCACTCATCCACTCACCCATATGCCATTGCTCTAAAACCCATGCCTTTGATCTCACCCCCAGGGTTCACTAACTTAAGTTGTTATGCTCATTATACAGGCTTAAATCCGTGCAAGTACTAATAAATTATGTTATATTTTATGCGAATGATCCACTTACAATAATAACAAAAGAGACAGAACATGATGAGACAAACAATACAAACGAGACCGTATAAACCAGAAGAAAATCAAACGAAGTCCAAAACCAAATCTTGACCCTGAATAGTGAATCATTGAATCGCTAGGAGGGCAGATGGGGGGGAATCATCATCGCATGTCTACTATCTTATGCAAACGTCCAAGGGTATCACTGGCTACGTCAAACGTAGTCAAACATTTGATAACCAAACCGCTAATAACACCCTCATCAAAGGCAACGTTAAACCAGCAGGCTGCACGCACACAAAGTGCAGATGCACGCACGTGTGCACAGGTGAGAGTCTAAGAGCCCCTCCCGTCCTCACACACACCCTTTGACCAGCATGCGTGCCTCAGGTGCATAAACGCTGGGTTTAGTTTATTGTGTTTAGTTTGTTGTCCTTGCCCACACCTCCGATTCGCATGGTTGGCTACACACTGTGGCGAAAGAAGTTCAACGTACAAATATACACCCATGGTCAAAAATGCTAAATTAGAGGCACGCTGGAGGGTTCGACCCCTTTAACACCCTCATATCAGAAGCATGCTGCTGCCGCTGAAGCCGTAAAGCACTTTTCGAAGCTTAACACGATAGGCAAATCATTAACTTCACATAGTGCTCGACATTTACTACACCACAGCAGCACGAGAAGTTAAAAACATGTAGCCTATTCACAGATAGCCAAGTAAATGTTCAAAGATGAATGCTTATTTTTTTACTTAATTTGTTTGTATTTTCCCCCAATTGTACCCGTCAGGTATGTCACAGCAGCGCAACCCAACGCAGTTGAAAACGGCCCAAAGAAGCAAATATCACAGATCTGAGATCCCTCCAAGGTGACCTCTGGTAAACACACCGTAGAGAGCACTTCCAAATCAGAAAAAATGAGAGCGAGGTTCGTCACAAGACCGATACTGTAATTCACAGAGCTAGACTTTAGCCAAATTAAATGCAGAACGAAACTGAATGTGATGAGGCTTTATTATTATTATTATCAGCCCGGGGACCGGGCTGAGACCATTAACTCACTATACTTGAGGAAGCTGCCTGGATGAGAAGGACCTCACAGCAGTGCGAGCTCTGCACTCGGACCTCCAAGTCACCGGGTCAACCTCAAAGGTGAAAGTTGGAAAGAAAATTCACTCCAGTTTTACAGAGACACCCTACACCCAGCTTTTGCAGGGGTAAAGAGTGACATAGGCAAGGCATGGTCCTTCTCTCTACACTGCGGGCCCGGGGCTGCTCGTGGTTCCGCACTTAGAACCCACAAGAAATGAGAAGTATCCAGTGGACGGTGACACCGATGGTAAAAAAAAGACTTTTCCTCTTTGCATTCAGCAGAAAAGTGCCTGAGGAAATAATGCCATTGCGAAGACTGACGTGTGGAAGCAGACATGCGATGTAGGAAAAAGCCCATCACCATGGGTGCTGCGGGGTTGGGGGTGGAGTGTGCGCACATGTGGGCTGAAAGGGAGAAAGGGAAGGAAGCTTCGGCAATGGGTGACAAAAACACGGCCGGGTCCGAGGTTCAACGGATCAAAGTCGAACACAGCGCTGGCAAGCCAAACCACGCGCTGAGCCCACCGCCAACAAGAACATCCCTTATGCGCAGTAGCAGCTTTAGTGCGTGCAAGCATTACAGGTTTAGTGTGCTATCCATAACAGAGGCTCTAAGTGTTATAACACTTGTACAATTTCTCCTCGTGTCAACCCATGCTGGACGAAGGTCTTCCCGCTCTCGGACGCCTATGGGGGTTATTTGACTACACTTTACCACGCTAGTCAGTGTGGGTTGATGAAGGGGTGGGATCCAGGCCTGGTTCAGAATTCACTAGCCACTTATGTTAGTCGTAGCCAGGAACCAAGCTCGGGTTGCAGGGTTCACAGTGTAGCACACGAACCAAAGCACCACTGTTCCAACCTGAGAGATACTTAGCAAATTTAAGAACTTCAGTAAACAACCTTGAAAATGATAGCAAGTTTGAGGTTGGAGCGTGTTCCTGTTCAAACAAGAACAGGGCAGCAGCCATACTGCTGTGCTGCAATTCTGAGTTTGTGGGTGGAAATATTACATTTCACTCATAGGCAGGTGTGAGTCTATCTATAGGAAGCAATCGCTATTGATTACCCAAAAAGTGGGAGTGATTTTACCAGCCCTTGACCAGGAGCTGAACTCCACGCACTCACCTATGCGAGTTGCGTGTCCCAAACCTCGTGCCGCTCGACAACGGTAAACGAGGAAGTGATAAAACTCAAGTCTGACTTGTAAAAGAAATAGGCACACGTTCTCAATGGGTTACCACCTGGTTAAATAAAGGATAATGGACCAATGGCAAGAGAAATGGCAGGCAGGTGTGTGAACAGCAAGATAGCATTTCACGTTCAATGAAGGTAAATAAGAGGACATTTACTGGTTGCTAGCGGACGGACGAATTTGAGGGGGGGGGGTGGGCAGGGAGGGACGAGAACGTACCAACATAGCGTTCCACGTCGGACACCGTGAACGAAGGGGGTGGCACAGTCATGCCAAGTCCATCCTTCTTGCTCACAATGATGGGCGATGTGAATCCGTTCTCGATGATGTAGTCCGCCGTCAGCTGGCTCCCCGGCATCCTCCGCACAACCTCCTCAGCGCTGCATAAAAACAATTGCGGCCACCGCACAGGAAAATTATCACCTTAATTGGCGACGGCAAGGGGATCCGCAGCACATCACCAAAATCGGCAATGGTGACTTTCACCAAGACCATCACACAGCGGCGTTCAGCACTTGCGGTAAAAGCCAGGCTTCCCGAGTTGGCTATCGACAGGTAACCATAATTAGGAGCTACTACACTCACCACAACCGTTAAAATGTTTTAACCAGTATTTTTCATCATCACTACTACCCTCACCACTATCACTATTACCATAACAATCATTACTACCACTACCATCACACTTACCATGACAAGCACCATCACACACACCTGCAGCCATGACCTTCACCATTACCACGTTCGCCCTCACTATTATTCCACAGCCATCGCTGCAACAATTATCACCCCCTTTAATATTGCAATCCTATCGTGGACTCGATTTAACCCAAATTGGGACAAGACCTCTTGTGTATTCGCGTTCGTCCATTATGATCTAATGAACCATCTGTAATTAGCGCTCTACTGGAGGCAATTAGCACTTGCCGCTTGGAGCGCCGACGTCGCGCGGTCGTCAGAAGTGGCTACGCGGAATTCATTTCCCCTTTTAATTACGAGCAACAGCGCGCTCACCCATGATCCTAAGCTACTTTAACTAAACAAAATTTAACTCTTGATGGGATTGGGAGGCACTGGATTTGCGAGCCACCATGGGATTAGCTCGTGGTCACTAACAAAAATCACAATTCACTCTCGTCATCACCGTCACCAACGCCAACACCACCACCAGTTTTAATTTACTCCCAGCTATTCCTACAAGTAGGCGTCACGGAGATTAACAGCGGCTGATTGGCACACTGCTTTAAACGCAAAAGCACGTCACCTCGTGACCTATTAGAACAGCAATTGGGTTCGCGTGCTAAAGCCACGCCGATTTAAAATTTCAGCTGCTTTCCACCAGCTGAACAATGATCCAAACATACACGCGCAGTTTAAGATAATATAAATTTTTTAAGCCAAAAAAATTTCTAGTTCGGATAAAGAGGCCTACTGAAGTCAACTCTTTCTAGAGGACCATTACCAGACAAAACGATATTTTGCTCACTGCGAGAATTCCAAATGGAATATTCATCCACTTGTGGCATGACACCGACATTATAAAATAACATATAATTGGTGAGGGGGGGGGGGGGAAGCCAAAACGTATTTTACAGAACACGCTCGTGTAAAATAACCCTTGTTCGTTTGGCAGTCGGTTGGTGAACGGGTCAAAGACTCATTAGCAAATGAAACCAAAAGTTGCTCAAACTGCCCTTGGCTCAATTCCATGCGTTAACTAGCAGAGACGGCACGTTTCAACGACGCAGAAATGTCAATGTGCTCCCCTTTCTCTCACTGAAATAAAGCCGAGGGTTGTCGGCAGAGCTGCAAATTTCGGCTGGAATATTGAATGTCTGCCGACTCATTAGCGCTGGGATCACCGCTCCCAGCCGCCTCCCATCACCCCCGCCACCACCCTCCGCCACCACCCCTTACCACCACCTCCCCCAATCCTCTCACCTGGGAAACGAGCGGCCCTGGAGCTTTTTAACGAAGACGGGCGTGCCGGTCTGCACAGGCTTCCCGGTGGCGCCGCCCTCAGTGTAGTCATGGCGGTGCCAATTCTTGCGCTTTTTCACTGTGAGCGCACACGCAAACACACGCACACAGACGGGGCATTGAAAGGGGGCAAGGGAGAAAAAAATTTAAGACGTATTAAAAAAAACACAAGCAACAAAGAATTTATTTTCGTGGAAACTTGAATCGGCTCGGCTCGACTCGCCGAGGGGACAATTGTAAGAGCCCCCGTCGAGACCCGTGAATTTAAAAACCTCTCTAGGCAAATGTCACTCAACGCTTCACATTTTTTCAGATTTTTTAAAGCCTAAAAAACATATCACCGGCATAATCAAGTGTGGGCAAATTACCCTAACGCCACCGTGGTGGGGGGGCACTCCTGGCTCAGCACCATGGATACGGCAAGAGATGCAACAGCACGGGGAGGACAATCTGCAGTTCATCGTAATTTCTATTGGTCTCGTTTTCCTGGGTTTAAAACCTGGACTCAAACCTAGGATCTTAGCAGTGCCTCCCCAACGGACGATCTATTTAAGAGACCCAAACTTAACACTTAAAAGAACCCAAGCATAATGTGTCACCAAGCAATCACTAAACTGATAACATCGTTACCGAAGCACACAACAGACTTGCTGTTTACCTGCAATGTTACATTTGCTGTGTAATTGTCAGCATTTTTTACAATTATCAGCATGTAAAATTACTATTTTAGAAATATATTGCAATTTTCAGCCACTTTTACGCAATGCCCAAATTTCTTACAAGGAAACGTATCATGGTAAAGGTCTCAAACTTTAAAAACTAAACAAGCCGTTTCAAACATTGGCCACAACGCTGGTAAGTAAAAAAAAAACCCTGCCATGAATTCAACCAACCGAACTGCGGGAGGAAACCAAGCATCTAATTTTTCAACGTTGGTAGAACCACCATGGGTGGCGGGTTCCACTGGGCTGTCTCCGTTAACGCGTCCACATGGGACGCCATCATAGAACGATGTTTACAAAAGCTCCGTTTAAACCCAGCTCGGTGGGCGTTCTCGTGGCGTTAGAGCAATTGTGCGTACATGGTAAAAAAAATCCCACGGTGAAAGTCCAATGCAGGCAGGGGCTTGGACAACTAAACGATTGCAATCGCTCATGGCAGACACGACATTGATCTCGCACTTGTCGAGGCAAAGTATTTTAGATCGCACAGAATTGAGGGCCATTCCTCTCTTCGTGCCTCAGCGTGATTCCAAGCACAGACCTCTCTACGCTTCTTTGCGCAGTTTTCAGCTCGTTCCATTTTATTTTGTCAGTGTCTGTATTTCTGATCCGTCGTAGCAGGTAATAGGCAATGATTGAAAACTTATTTACAAATCTTACGTTCCTTTTCATTACAAAGTTCAGTTTTAGAAAAACACTCCAACCTGTAATAATAGGGTTTTTCCCCTTTTTTCTTGCAAAACTGAAACCTTTTTACAAGGAATCATGTGTGCATTAACCACAATACTTGTGGTCAAAATGGAAACAAGTATTGTGGCAAATGCACACATGATTCCTTGTAAAAAGGTTTCAGTTTTGTTGCCAGAAAAAAGTGGAAAAACCCTATTATTATAATTTGGTACTGGCAAAAAAGGTGTAATAATGTACACTCCAACCTGTTCGTATTTGCCTCTCATTTTGTTCTCAGTGCACCTTCAATAATTGCCCTAAGTACACATACTCCGAAGTATGTTCCAGTTGTGTCCCTCCAACAAATATCTCCATTCGTATAACTTGCTGTACTTTTTGTTTTGTTCAAATATATCCTGTGCCAACTTTTGCAGCCTTACTTACAGAACGAATCAAGATGGTACAAACAAGACTGCATGTAGAGTACAGATATGAACAGGCAGTGGAAAATCAAGTATCAAGCACAGTATAAATGAAAGAGTGAAAATGAGGTGATATAAACGAGACCAAGAGACATTACAAACGAGATAGAACATACAGGGTAGGAACAAAATAGGATGGAGACTAAATCAGTCAGTACAAATAAGATAGGACGGATCGTGCAAGTCAGACAATACAAACGAGACACAAAAGATGAGCCATACTGCACCAACAAGAAAGACCCTAACACCAATGACACAACACAAGTGAGACAAAAGAACAACACGCTCTTGAATTGACTCATCCATCCAACGCATGACGATTCATCGAATCTCTGTCGGTGGTGGGGCGGGGGGGGGGGGTGGCCGTGCGGTGAACCAAACCGCTCCACATCTAGCGAACCACCCCGGGACTTGCCAAGCTCAACCGCGAATCTTAACCGTGGCGAGACGTGGAGGGAAGTAGAACAGGCAGACGAGTCGGCCGCCGCCGCCACCGGGCGGACGTGCAGGCAGGCGCCGTCCGGCGCAACTTACTGAGCGAGCTCCCATGGGTCTTGGCGCAGTTAGGGCAGTGGTAGAGGTCGATGTCGACTGCCTGGTGCTCCTCCACCCCCACACAGCTGCCAGGGGGAAAGGAAGGAGGGGAAGACGGGGTGGGTGGGGGTAGAGGAGGTGGCCGGGTCGGGGTCCGGGCGAGAGGAAGTGGGCGGGAGAGGCAGGGCACGGAGAAGTGGGGGGGAGGAGGGGGGCGTCGGGTCGTGGGTGGAAGGAGTGGGAAGGGAGGGTCGGGTGGCACACACAACACACACACATTTGTTACTGAACATGTGGATTAGAAGGAAGTCGCAAGGACAGAAGGAAGGGCAGCGTGCAGACGCCGCCAACGCACTGATACAAAGCGCGCTGAAATGTAGGACAGGAAATCTACGGGTCGGCCGTCGAGCGTCAGGGCGAGAAGTAGCAGCGCTTTCGCCGGCGCTGAAAATGCATTTTGCGGGGCCCTTTGTCTTTCCATTGTGAGTCGGCGGTGAGCTCGCAGGATGCCTGAATCACTGGCAAGCGTCGCCATGGCGACTGCCAAAAACTCTCATCAACAAGCGTCGTGCATAAAAACTTTCCTTACGCGTGCCGATTGCATAATACCCACGGCCGGGAGACCACTACTCATGGGAACACACGAGAGCAGAAGGGGGACTTCCCCCCCGCCCACACTACCTCGACAGAATGAAAACGTAGGAATCTCTCAAACACAAAGATTCCCCATGCAGCCCAAAGACTGTGGTGTTACCAAAAACATATGAAGGCCTGAACCGCGCACGAGCGGTGTTGTGGCCAATACCATCCCCAACCACCTTAATCTCACCACATTGTTATTTAAGGTTAAGACAATTTATGGGAGGTCCAGGACAAGATCACACATTCACCACTTAGGTTAGCCGTGGTTGGGACTCCTGAGAAAACCAAACACAAAAACCACCAACCACTGGAAAGACATCGATAACCACTAAGTGGTGGTGACGTCATAATGGTGCCTGTGCCAGGCTAGGTGCACAGGTCACTTTGATTGGCACCCATGGTTTGCCAGAAGGTTATAGGGACAGGCCCAGGTGTAACTAAAATGGCTGGGTTACCATTCAAAGAGTTGAGCTCAATGGGCATCACCAAAAAAAAACTGACCGACTCACCCCTTTCATTATTAACAATGCCTTATATGATGATGTAAGTGAGCTAACGTTTCAGGCAACGACCCTTCTTCCAAGCAGTACACGTACAGCACTGCCAATGCGGTCTGTTAATTTTTCATTTGAACTTGAGATCCACGTGTTATGGGTTAACAGAGCAGGGTAACTGGCAGCTCCTGTTTTGTGGAAACAAAGACGGAGATCCATCGTTTAAGCTTACAAGGGGGAGGCGAGCTGCTCGAGAGCACCTAACCACAGCCGGCGTGACACAGAAGGGGGTGGTGTGGCCAGCACCACCTTTGTCTCCCCAGCCCCGAGAAATACACACGACACCAGTTATCGTTCCACAATGCACGAACCACTTGCACCACCGCCTCCCCCATATACACACAAGCAAACAACCACAGTCACACACACACACACATGCATTAACGATCACACAGACAGAAAAAAAAGACAAAGATCCCCTGTATAGCCTTAGCCGGCACGGCACACGAGGGGGTTGGGTGGCAGGCACCACGCCTGACCGCCTTTGTCTCTCCAGTGGCGATGTTTACACATCGCACCATGTACTCATTTAAGGCTGAGTCTACCTAGGAGGCTCAGGACTGGTTCAGATATTTGTCACTGGTGTTGGTCGCGAGAGTTTGTAGCGCAGTACTCTAACCGTTGCACAAGCGCACCCCAGACTCACAAGACATACACCGTCTCACACACATTTCACTCAGATGAATTCACTCAGACAGTAACTGATACAAACACACACAAGATGACAAATAATGTCCCACAATCACACACCGTCACAAGCACATTTTCACATCCACACTCCGTGACACACACACAATCACAGTGTCACATGCACAGTCGCACGTAGAGGTCACACCGGGATGCTTTAACCGCGCATTGTTTCGTGACATTTTTCGCGGTGCGAGTCACTCGACTCGCGGTCAAAACCCACGCGTGCGCGGGACAAGCCCCCTTTTCTTTTTCGCTATCCTCCCGGTCGCGTGAAAGTAAACCACTCGCGTGCGTAATAAGGGGGCATGGCGGTGATACATATATATTAATACGTATTAATCATCGCTTGCTGCCTATCAACGTCATTCTGATGACGACGATCCGCGAGGGAAGAGGGTAAGGAAGGGAAGAGGGTAAGGAAAAAAGGGAAGAAGGTAAGAAAGAAAGGGAGAGGTGTGGGGGGGGCTTTTGGCTGAACGCCCCCTGCTGCCACGCGCGACACGACCCGAAAAAGTAAACATCGCCAGCTTTTGTCGTGCAATACGCGGCTACCGTCAACGGCCGGGGACGCGAGCAGGCAAAGGGAGGGAGAGATGAACACGAGACGAGGCACAGGAAGTGGAGGGACGGATGAACAAGAGAGGAGGTAGATGGAGATAGGAGGTTGAGGGACGGACGAAGGGAGGAGGCAAGACGAAGGACAGAACGAGGGAGAAGCTACAGGGAGATACGAGGAAGACATGGAGAGATTAGGTGGAGGAAGAGGAGGGAGAGATTAACAGAGGGGGTAGGAGGATGGTTGAAGAGAGGTAGTAACAGGAAGAGTGGGGGAAAGGGGAGAGGAGGTGGAGGAAGAGGGGGGACGGAGACACAGAAAGAGGTGGGCGAGGAGGAATTATAAGAGGGAAAAATAGGAGAATCGAGGAACGGTATAAGAAAAGTGCATTATACATTGATGGGAAGAGGGTGGAGGATGAGGAGAGGAAACGAAGTGGATGAGAAGATGTAGAGGAGCAATAGGAGAGAACAGGGAGGAGAAATAGCAATGGAAGAGTGTATTGTGCATTGACGCAAGGAGAAAGATGACAAAAGAGGTGGGAGAAAGGTAGAATTAATTAAGTTAGATGAGGTGAATAACTACGAAGAGGTTACTGTTGAGAAAGAGGGTGAGAACGTGAACGAGGAAGATAATGGCTGCGATGTGAATGATGAGGAATGAGGACGTAAAATACGAATAGGGATATGAATGATGTTGAATATGAAGACATGAGAAATTAAAATGATTAAGTGGATGAGGTGGCGGTGCAGGATGTTATCTATGAATATTATAAAGTAGATGACGATGTAATCAATATCAATGATTAAAAAAACTATTTGATTGAAAATTAGTGAATGATGATGTCGTTCATTAACATGATCACAGATGATGTGCATGTGGAGTTAACGATGATGTGAAGGAGGACATGAATACGAATGATGGCTATGGATGAGGCCTGGAATTATGACTTGAATACTAATAATGAGGGTGTCAACGATTAGGATATTCATTACATCAACACTCATGTAAATGTTGATGATGTAAATGATAACGGAAGATATTAACAAGGATGTATATAATTATGCTGTGAATATGACGAGGATGCGAATTACAACAATAATGTTGAATAACTACGTTGTAAATAATGAGGATGTTAAAAGATTTGAACACGGATGTGAACGATGATTACGATTCGGAAGATAATCACGACGTCTACGAAGATAACACTGGAAACAATGTGAACGTGACGATGTGAATTATGCGAATGACGATTATGTAAATGCCGTGAATGATCTGGACCATGACGACGTGGAGCGACGACAATGACGACGCGAACGAGGGCCGTGGGATTGTGGCTCACGAGGAAGCGAACGATGTGGTCGGATGACGATTTTGTGAAACGATGGGAATAATGCGAACGACGCTGACGACATGCATTATGCGATTGAAGGTAAATGCCGCGAACAGTCGATGTGAACCGGGGGCGTTGCGAAACGTCGCGTAATTACGCGAATGATAACGATGCCGTCGATTGAGGGCGAAATGATGCGAGCGAAGGCGAGCGCTGCAATGAAGAGGTGTGTACAACAAAAAAACCGATGACGACGACTTAACAGGCGGCGCGTGGTTAGGCACCACGGGCCGCCATGGACACTTTTAAGTCACACACGCACGCCCACCGCTCCGGCCTCCATCCCTCCCTCCCCTCCATCCCCCACCCCCCAACCACATCGACGACACCGTCCCCCCCCCCTCACGGCACACCGGCGGGCACTCAACGCGCACACTCGCAAAACAATCTCCTCCTCTCTCGCTCTTCCAGAAACCGCCCCCGAACAATACACACAACCGTTCCCCTGTGCCACCGGCGAAAGTTACAGGGAGGACGATGAGGAGCGAATGATGGGTGGGTGGTGGAAGAGCTTGAATGTGCAGTTATGGAAATTTAAAAAAAAACTAAAAAGTTACGGCCAAAAAGGCACCGCCGGCTGACTCAGGAGGCGATCCCTTTAAACGTCTTTTGTTTTGATCGACGGCGGCACGGCGGCGCGGCTGCGTCCGACCCCCCCCCCCCCCCATGTCATTTTACGAGTTGGCTGCTCGCCCGGTAAGACCACTATTTTTTCCCTCCTCCTCGTCCTCCTCTTCTCGTAGTCTCCACGAGAACGAGTCACTCACGAATTTACTCAACTGTAAACTCGGTCACCCTGACCCACCCCCCCCAACACCTCAAACTCCTCCAACGGGCCCAGCTCTGACCACGATCTCAGTTTAAACGGGGGCACTAAGACAGCAGCGCCGACGAAATACAGATACGGGAGACGGAGGGTGATAATAAGGTGACAGCGCGAGAGATATGGAGACAGGAACGACGAAGAGATGGTGGGGGGGGGTGGGAGACGGGGAAATACTTGGCGAGAAGAGACGTGGGTAAGAGACGCAGCGAGAGACGTGGGGAGAGAACGAAGCGAGAGATGGGGAGACCGATCGAAACGAGACGGAGACCGATCGAAACGAGACGGAGACCGGGGAGACACGGCGCGAGAGATGGGAATAAAGATCGAAAAGGAGAGACAAAAACAACGCAGGCGAGAGATATCGAAGCGGGGAGACGAGGTGACACGGAGCGAGAACGCCGAGGGAAACCCTGACCCCGGGAACGCACAAGTCAACCAGGTTCGCTCGCTCTCCGAATCAACAACCCACCGCATCGAAACAACCGCCGCTAACAACCCACAGCCAAAAACTAGCGCTACCGAGCCAGCTCGCTCTCCATCACCAAACCAACAACACCGCTCCCGACCACCGACACTATATAGCCATCAACAAACCAGCCGAATCGCTCACGATCCCCTTCTCACAAACCACTCCGCCATCTGACACCACCGCAACCACCACAGCTACCGGCCGCCGCCAGCGAACAACGCCGAGGACCAGAGCCCCCCCCCCCCAACACGGACACAGCCGGACACGAGACACCGAGGTGAACCCGCGAGAGCCGAAACAACAATAAAAGGGGGGCGCCGCGCCGCCAGCCCGCGCCGCCCGCACCTGCCGTGGAACCAGTCCTTGCACACGTCGCACTCGATCATGAAGCGGGTCACGTCGTAGGGCAGGCGGCACACGCAGTACACGGCCGCCATGTCGCGGGCCGCTCGCCTCGCGTCGCCCACCACCACCGCCGCCGCCGCCGCCTCCTCGTCCTCAGCCGCCGCCGCCAGCGCTGCCACCGCCGCGTCCCCCCTCTCGTCCGTCCGCCTCCCTCCCCTGAGCGCCTCTGTCTCGCCGCCTCCACATTCCCTACAGTTAACGCGCGCGGCTCGCCCGCCTCGGCCAATGGGCGGCGACGGCGCGGCCACCACGTGCACGTCGACGGCCAATCACGCGCGACGCCGCGCTCGTGCGGCGTGGGAAATGTGATGGCGGGGCGGGCCGAGCGGCGCGTGTTTCGCCGGCCGCCTCATTCGCGCTTCTCTTTATGACCGCGCGGCGCCCGCCTCTCGACGTCTCTCGCGCGCCAACGAAGCCAAATAAAAATGCCCAGGGGCCACCGCCATCGTGCCGCGGGGCCACCCGACGCTGGTGGACGCCGCGGAATGTCAGATTTTGGCTCCTTATTATTCGTATTTTCTATCGCGAATATTAACTGCCAAAGGTGAACGCTACGGCCGTGTCCGCCCGCTGCAGATTCGCAAAGCCGGGGGGCGGCTGGCTCGGTGACGTCATTGTCGTGTGTTTAAAGCCCCCCCCCACACCCCTCCCCCTCTCAGCCCCTCCCCATGTCACCCACGCCAGTTCAGACTGGGCTCGGAAATTCCTGGCAGGATATGACCACGCGTCGGCATAACGTGACCAGCAGCGTCGGCTGGGTTTAACAAGTTAATCACACGGGCCAGCTAATAAATTAATTAATTGGCGGGCTCTTAACCGACACTGGGAAATAGAGGCGAACCCCCGTGCCCTTTGCGGGTCGCGAAACGCGGTAAATTTACGCTAAATGCCAGATCCGGGAACGACGCGGTGGACAGAGAGAGACTTTGGCCGGTCACTCGCGTTCTTGGAACCGTGACAATATTTACCGGCCGTAGAACGAATCATTTGATGTAAATCATACATTACCGAATTCCCCTGATTACATCGCACCAAAAAATAACCTTGTGCCGTATGTCAATGAAGTTATGCACGTCTTGTCACGTACACAACACACACACACCTACCTACTTGATTATGAGACCCACCACACTTTTGCTTTTTAAAGTACAAGGGAGGGGAAAGTGCGTCATAATCCAGAGAACACGGTAGCATTTATACTAATTCATAAAACGCAAATTCTGGTTGCCCTTTATGTTCGATTAACAGCGGGTGGCAAATTAACCTGACCATCACAATTGGATCTGTCCACTCCTGCCCACCTCCCATAATAAACACCAACTCACACTGACCAGGGCACGGTGAAGTATGGTCAAACAACCCCCACGACCAACACGGCGTGAGGAAGGCCTTAATCCAATAATGGGTTTACCACGGCCTTCAGATTAGACGTTATACATTCAACGCCGAAGTACCCTTCGGCATACAAAACTAACTTGACAGAGCAAACAAGCAGCGACACACAAACAAGACCAAAAAGAGTAAACTCTTATAATATATAATCGCGTCAATTACAACGATTCACGGCGACTGAAGGGAGGATATTTTTTTAACTCGTATCGGACAGCCCAGGACACACAGCCTAAATAGTGCGTATGTGTACACGATAAGAGAGATAGAGATACGATGTGTATCTTACTTTAACCCAGGGGTTCAGTGCTAAATGATTTGTTTAATTATAATTTAAGTCGCTGCACAATTCACGCGCCTGATGACTCTCAAGCAGGTAATACAGTACGTCGTGTGGAGCGCGGAGTGTAATTTGAATCGGCGCATGTAGTAACAAAGACATTCACGCGCACACCAGTTATGAATGACTTGATACGAATGACTGGGCCATAAACATCTGACAGTAAACGAGCATAGGTTCAAATAAGCCCGACCGCTGATGAGACAACGGTTCAGAGTTTGCATCGAACTGCTGCTGATAAACTTATACACTCCTACAAGGGCATTCGACTGATAGAATGTATAAAACACTTTTATTTTAACGTCTAAAGATAGATTGTGGTGTATTATCCGCTTGTTAAGATTGACCAAATGTTTAACAATCATCAGGCACTTGCGGCATGAAACACCTTTATATCGGAACGTGACAAATGGTGAAAGCGGAAAGGCATACAGTAGAGTAATGGGTCACGATTAATAGTTTGGGAAATCCTGCTTTTACCAATCTCAAGGGTTGTTTTTTCCCACCCCTCCTTAAAGCGGCAGCGCAAATTAAGGAAACATTAGAACATCTGAGATTTCACGTTGAACCCTGACCCAACCCCCAACCGGCCTCTCAACTCGCGTCGATCCTGAAGGAGCAATTTAGGAAAACAATGCGAGGGCCGAGCCCATCCCTGCGCAAACAGCGACAAAGCCTAATCCGCCCGGGGGACATGGTTTGCTGGTCTTTAGTCTGGCCGGTTCTGTCTATAATAACCCCAACCTGTCCGTCTTGTTCTAAGAAGAATTACACGCTCTCTTGATAGATACTAGGTTAAGGGATCGCGCGTAGGTAATTTTGCGTAATCCTATTCGTTATCGGCCATTACCTGTACACTGCTGGGTGATTAAGGCCTTCCACAAAATCACCATCGCCCATAACGGTTACACATCAAGCCTTCTCGCTCCTTTACCTTGCACATTTTCACTGACGCCACGCGTTCCTCTTCTCACCTCTCAGTGCAATTCCAAGCATGTACTTGTCCATGCTTCTAACTGCATTTTTCAGCTTTTGTTCCATGTTTTGTTCATGTCCACGATTTTGATCCACGGGATAGCAGGTAATATGCACCGATTAAATGCGAGACTTCAACCTAGGCCAGAACCCATCATCAACAATGTTTCTGTAATGCAGTGAACGGGGCCTTCCGTGTTCGTGAAGAGCCCTTGCCTCTAACACCAGGCTTCCAGGCGGCATTTGTTAAGCGGGTCACACACTGCTGATGGGATGCAGGTCAAACACAGTCCAGAATTTGCCTGCTTAAACAAATCCTGTTGGAATATCGGTCCAGCAACCCCATAGGCTGATTAATGGACCTCATGTTGTTTTATTTATTGTGGTGAAACAGACTCTGGTCTGTTTATGTAATTTGTGTCATTATAGTCCAGCCGTGCCTGATTAAAGATAAAGTGTATCTTATATTCCAATCCAGTCTTTTTATAATAAGACCCTGCTTGTATTGTATTGGCACAACCTACCATTATTATATTCTAAAATAATCAACACTCAACCTATTGTGTTCCAGCCATGCCTTATTATACCACTGAACATCATTTTCAATCAGATCCTGCCTTGCCCAAGTCCAATTAAACATTATATTCTAACGATGTCTTGTTAAAGTAAAACACATCTTTCTTTAGTCTAACCACCTCGATTGAAAACCAAACTTATTTACTGTATTGGCTATCAGAGCACGGAGACATCTGTATCTTCAATTAGAAGGGGAAATCATTCCACTTACATGAAAATAAATAAAAACTCATTCACTTTGTTATAAAATACTTAATTGTGAAAAAAAACAGGGGTGTGATGCGTTAATTTCCTGATAACAATCAATTCTTAAGCTCATGACTGATATCGAATCGGGTATTTAAGAATTTCTATTTTTTTATGCAGAAGTGTAAATTGATTCACATCACCCCTGCAGCCACTAGTGGCAGCCACATTCACCACAATCACAACCTAGATTCGCAAAGCTTCATCGAATATTCAGGGTGGGGTGGTGAATCGTTACACCTCGAATGAGAAGTATTAAGTAGGTGCAAATATACATCCTGATCATTATTGGGGAAAAAACTGTTAAAAAGGTATACATTTTGTTGTATCCATCCTAATTGAGTTTCTAAACTTTTACACGGAGCAAATTTTAGTAGAAAAGAACAATAAAAACCCAGTGCGAGACAAATGCTCGGGGTCGGTAATTTCCTTCACCGACGACGCAGCGGCACCCGTGACAGAAAGACCAAACAAAAACACAGATCAATACAATTCCACACCCCTCTTCTCTAACGCTGCAATCGATCTGCAATCGTTGCCGGTGCATCGCCGCTCTTGCATCGGATCGCCACTTTTCAAAATTCCTGACACCGACAAACATCAGTCCTCTTAATATGAAAATCGATTCACAGCTGAAGGAGTCGTCACTGCATAACACATTTGTTAATGTTGCACCACTTTGCTTTTATAATTACAGCACCTTCTTTTATTTTTCTGGCTCTCGGGGCCACCTTTGCACGATGCACATCAATCACAGGAAAATTGGTCAATGACCCAAGCTTAGCATACATTTAACTAGGACATTTCAGAAGGCGTGAAGTGTGGCCAACAGGGGTCCATTCTTCATAGGTCTGGTTCAAAAGGCCACTCAATTGTAAATAGCTCTTCGATATGCTTTTTGGGGTTGTACCGCATGTTGTTGGGCATGATGCCCGATGTTTCGCTGCATTTGTTGGAAGCTTCTTTGGTCAGTTCAAGTAATATCAGCTTGACCTTGATTATCAGTAGAAGCAGCATTAACAGCAACATCATAATCAACAGCATCAGATGAACTTTCATTGTTCCCAAAGAAACTCCAAAAACGTGCAGCCAAACGTGAGACATCACGCTGGACAATATGTGGTAGAAACCAAACAGATCGGAGAGACATACGGCACAACTGCGAATACCTACACAGTGATGGTCTTAATTAATGCTATTTGAGTTTCGGGGCCGTGCAAATTTCCAGTTAAATAAATTCGACATTCTTGGGGCGAAGTCCTGTCCTTTCTCCTTAATTCAACAACCGCTCTTGACTTCACAACAAGTGATGCAGCCTCACCAGGTAGTGCTCACTTTAACGACCTTGAGGAAGCAGGAATGACAGGCCAGATTGACCCCGATTCTGATTTGAATTTGGGCCCTTGCAAAATTATCTACCCTGGCTATTAATACATGGGGATTTCATCAGACATCTCACTCCATGCACTTTTATACGAAAAAAAAACTAATTTGGTCAGTGGGTTTTACACAACTACCATGGCTAATTTTACCATAAACTTCACTCACGTATTCCACCACCACACTGTTTAATCTCATCCACACTTTGTTCAACCACCACACTTGCAGGCCACAATACGTGAATCTCTGCTTCGTCCCCCACACTGGCTTGACTAAGGCAATCCCTTCAATTGTATCTTTTCCCAAGCTCCACAACGATGTTTAATTAATGAAGCACGTTAACACTTATCGACTGAAAACTGATGGTTCTACTGATGGCCGCTTTACATTTTGGTACTTTGGGCCTGACTGAACAACTGTGTTTAAAACAATACGCTTGTTTTTCTCAAATAAAGTGTTGTTAAATTTTGATTTAAAGCTTTCTTGACTGCAGGGACTCATATTCTTGGTTCTTTCGGTAAAGTCACGAAGAAGATGATTGCTTGTGTTGCAGTCGAAACGTCGTGAGAATTTCATTGTTTTATATATTTTTTATTGTTTCCCTTCTACGTGACTTTACCAAAAGAACCAAAAATATCAAGTGTTGGTAATTCAAGTAAAGGGGGTGTAGGAAATCAATGGCGCCCATTAAAAATACACCTCTGAAATATTTACCCAACAGGATAGACCTTAATTTTCTCCCTTTAAGATAAAATTAACTTTTATAACAGTGCATAAGGGGACATATGTTTCATTCCTACGAGTGTAGCAATATCTACTACTTGTAATGGGAATGCCAGTGTCACATTCATTAATGTGATTAAGAAGCAGACACAGCCCGATGTCAAATAAGGGCCACCACTATCGGGCTTCAGTTACTCATTGCCATACAGCAAGGATTATCCTCACAGTAGAATAACAAAACGACATTTGGCTCCCCCGACATGACACCATTAGTTTCACCCTCCACATGTAAGAAACATGAAAAGTAATAGCCAGACTATCCACTGCTGGATGAAAGCCACCCCAGACATCCCATGTGCCTTAGAGTCCAGTGCTGCTTCAATTCATCTAGCTCGTGCACTGAACTGATCTCATTGTTGCATCTCCATTGTTCGCAATATAGTCCACTTTAGTCAAGAGCCCATTTAGACTAAACAACGAATTGATTCAAGTGTGACCTGGATGCTAAAGGGTGATTGCCAAGACTGCCCATGGTATCCATCGTGCTGAAGTGGTGACCTGCGGACAGACCTGGCAGCAGACCCATGATCATAACCATCATCACCACCACCACCACCTTCACATACTGCGATAAAGGACAGAGATGAGCAGCGCAAACCTCCTCGGCTCGCATTCCCTGCAACACAGAGCCGGCAAATTTCACACGCGTTTGCAAAAGCATGCGCAGCAATTAACCACAGCACTTCGTTAATACACTCAGAATGCACCAGGGCAGGCAGAGGCGATGGGACTCAGTGAATACAGAACCGGACCAGCTTTGCTTTGTCAAAGTAATCACTTCTGGCATGCACTAATTTGGAATGCAAATTAATTGGGAGATTGTTGTTTCATGTTGGTAAATGGACAGTTCCCTTTCCTGTTTATCTATTACCTTATTTTTCATCACTACAATAATGATACTCTTAAATAATCCAGAATATATTTCAATGGAGCCTCGATACTCTTTTCCAGGAGGGTCTTTGTTTGGAAAGTTTGGCCAAATCCAATAACGAGTGGCAGGTCAGAAGCTGGAATACATGGAAAAACCCCACATATACAGGGGGATAACTCTCAAAGCTCCACACAGATGGATTCAACAATCCACTGCTGTCCTGCCATCTCAAAGTTACCTTGCAGCACAGGCCTACAACACCTGGTATTACTCCCTCATGGTCTCCCATCCAGGTACTAACCTTATGCTGAACAGGCCCAGTTCCCTCTGGGTGGTCACCTATTCTAGACTGCCACTGGTCAATGGAATGGTTGTGCTTTGAGATGCTGAGGAATTGAAGTTCCCCAACTAATCCCATTCTTATCCTCAACCTTAACCAGGCTCGACCCTGCTTCACCGATTTGCCGTACACCTTCTAGGAGGCTTGCTGGGGGGTGCTGTCGTTTGGTCTCTCCTCTGAGCCTTTGGACATTTCCGCCCAAACCCTGACAATGAGCAGAGGGGAGCCCCGTTGCCGCTGCCCGTTAGCTCGTTAACAGATTTTAAGGGGCTTTGCCAGGTTGGTTTTCTCTTCTCTAATAAGGGCGGCGATGAGCCGGCAAGCAGGTGGTGTGCGGCTAGGGATTGGGGGGGGGGTCTAACCACAGCGGGTAACGCGACACCGCCGGCAAAAAAAACACACCGCACCACAGCTTCCCCCGCAGAGCGCACGAGGGTTTTATTTTTTGACAAATCCACTTTGCATGTTACACCAAGCGCTGCGTTTTTGGCCAGGGGTAATTGCGCCAGCCAGTGTTTTACAGCCGCCTCAGCTGGAAGCGTTATAACGATTAGATTAGCATTACAATTGCGAAAATAAACCACTCCCTCCCTTCCTCCCACGCGCGCACACATGATTCTCTTTGAAACGAAATCATTCCTTGTTTCGCTAAACAGCCACTCACTTGCTCACGATTGCTGTTTGGAGGTTGACTGGCTAGCAGAGGTCTCCTAAATAATAGGGGAAAGGCAAAAACAGCGTACATATGTTTGTATCCTTGCCAGGGTCGACTGAGAATCTTCAATATTATGGTTATAATCATGACTACCACCGTGGCAAATCTCAGGGTGGTAAATCATGCACACCACTTGGTGGTAAGTTAACGGTGCTTGATTGTATTTGTAAAGGAGAGACCAGGCCCCAAATGGAAAAGAGGAATTTTACCGTTGGCTCAGGAATGGCCAAGACTCATTTCATCACCAGGACACGTTGACTTGTAGTGTTATTGCTACATCAGAGAAGAAAAAAAAAGCCACTTGCTCTGGGCTCACATTATTATGGAGAGCGCACACTTCTCTTCAGGCACATTGTGTCCGTGTGAAAGAAAAAATACAGCTGCGAATTTCGAATTCTGCTCAATTCGTTTGTAATTTAGAGTCAAGCATTCCTGCCTCAGAGACAAAACAACACGTGTCCCCCTCAGAACCTGGAGCACATTCACCACCCTGTTGGTCCAGTGACGAGCACAAAGAGTCCAAGTCCATAATCACCCCCTGGTGCCGTTCCCCAGAAGAAAAAAAAAACCTCTTCCCAGCAGACTTAAAGTCTGGGCATGCAACGCTACAGCCTGCCCCAACAGGCAACTGAACAAAAAAACACCACATACTATACTGTATTCAAAATAAATAAGCAGGTACAGAGGTTGGTTTGAGTATTTTTTTTCCAGGAGCGTTCATTTAAACACACCAACCGTGGATCAGCCTCAAAATCACCGAGTCTAATCAGCAAGATGCAGCCACTTAAAATGATGCCACGGCGTGCCACGGCGAAGTTATGCTAGCTGCCGTGACATTAGTGAAGTTTTATTGCGCTGGGTAAAAGCAACGCGGAGGAGGATGTTATGGCAACGCGGTCAAAACCAATTCTCAAACAGTTCCATCGTCCCGGGCAGAACGTGATGAATATCACGCTGGCAACAATGGCCTGTCTCGAAGCGAAATACAAACCGCTCAGAACAAGCCCACCTCTGAAAGCAGATTTTAACCAAACCCGCTACTGTACGTGGAAAGCAAGTCTGCATTCCACAACTGCAGGCCAGGCGACATACCGCTCCGCACACCCGCGATAAATTTTGCGCAAAATAACCGTTGTCAAGTGCGGCTTTGACTCCGGCCTTATTTACTGCGTGGACTCGAATGGAACAGCCAGGTGAGTGTAAACGGTACAACCCTCCTGTTGCTGAGCGGCACAACGAAGTCACGAAGGAAAAAAATGCACTGTTCGGTGCTTTTTAGAATATTGCAGAAACCACTATATTTCACCACTCAAGTAAACGCTCGTGTCGCTGTTTGAGCCTGGAGCGGGGTGGGGGGTACGCGAGGGCACTTTTTCAGAGCTCGTGGAGTGAAACGCCGCTTCGGGAGAGACTGAGAGACCGGTTTTTCGAGCCACTATCTCAGGACGAGTTCAGTGGCGGCACCAAAAAATTCGTCCGACTCAAGCGATAAGGCGCCATGATTTTATCACATGCCCACCACTGTCGCGTCGAAAACACCAAAACACGTAGAACAAAGCATGTTCAGTTCTTCGCGAACAATGCCATTTTTCATGAATTTTTTTGCACAACAGCAAAAATTACATTTTATCGCCCACAATAAAGTATGTTTCCTTCAGCTATAATGCATAAGCAATCGCCTTGCTTTGGGATGTTCAACAAAATGTTTTAGTCAGGTCTAAATCAAAGAGTCTCTCCACTCGATAAGTAAAGCAATGCTCGTCTCTGCCAGTGGTTGCAAAGCAGTGGTGCAAATTTCACATTTCCATGACAGGGAACAGCCTTGCTGCAGCATAACCAGTGTTGAGAAACAATCACTCAAGTTTATTAACAAATAAAATTTCCCAATCGCCTTTTGCTGGAACGGTGCCACACGCCTCCCCCTCGCTGTGCTCACTCGCAATGTCCTCAACCGTGGTCTCGTGAAACCGAGCTGATCTCACACCGCACACTGGTTCCGGTATTGCAGTCGGCACTTGGGAGCGGTGCCCACCAGAAGCGCGCACCTGAGGAGCAGCATGTTGCACTGCCTCAACCAAAACCTGCGGAGCCGTTCCCAGGTGCGAGGGCTGAGCAGATGTGGGTGGCAAGCCTTAATTCTGCTTTCGATGACGTTTTTTGAGCCACCGGTCGGCAAAACCCGGTAAAAATTACAACAAAAAGCCCCTATCTGCAGAGCGAGCCAGCCATTGTGTGCCAGGGTGGTTTACCAAATTCATGCGTCACCTAGGACAGCGGAGGCACGTTCCCCAAACGGGGCCTCCCTGTAAAGCCGGGTCGCACGTAAGCAGCTTAATGGCAGAGTTCTCTATAAAGGCACTCCGTAAATAAACACGTGTTTATTGTTTGTTTACAAGCGCTGCACCCGCAACGACTGACTTCGCCGTTGAAACGGGGAGATAATTACGTCAACATTTTACGGTGAGGACACGTTACCGGGAACGGGATGATACAGGGAAGGCGGTGGGGGGGGGGGGTTCTGTTGTGAAAGCGAAACACTCGAGTAAAACACGGCTCGTTCGTGCACAGCTCTTGGGCCACTTTGTGATCAATGCCCTCCGACCTCGACGATCAATACTCTTTGGGTCATTATTTACAATGACCATATTGGCAGCGAACCCATTCTTGGCGCTGATCTAGTGCGGTAGCTACAAGGGGGAGAAAAAACACAAAATTACCCTCTCTTTATTAAACACAGCTGCGCACGGGGAGGACAACTTTCGGCTTAACCGCACGTCACAAAGACAAAGGAGGCTTATAAAACGGCACTCCGCAGAACACGGGCTTGGCAGGTCGGTCCAACAAATTACGCGTACATCACAAGGCCCCTCAAGCACTGACCATGACATCGCAGGCTTCTCTCAAATTCCAGGTTGCAAACTTAACAGCTTTTCCTGAGCTTTTTTTCATCCCCAAAGGGAAACCACAAGCAATCTATTGATTTGTTGGCTTATTTACACCGCTTTACGTACGGGGCTCACTTCAAAGCATCCTCAAGCACTTTCTCCAGCACGACGGGAAAGGCCATCAAATTTCAACTCTCGCGGATTGACCAGACATATTTAACAACAAAAATCAAATAGAACTCGTTTGCTAATATCTCAAAAGCCTGGGGGGTCCTTTGTTCTTATGGGATGCTCGAAGCCTTCAGTGGGCACTCCTCACCCCTCTATTGGCCACCACAATGGAACGTCTTTAAACACATCCCTGCGGCCGCGAGACGGACGTGTGCGTGCGGTTCATGCAGCGGCGAGGCAGACGGGACGAGTGAAGAAGCCCTCCCCTTATGGCTGCTCCCCGCAGCTGTTTTGACAGCCATGATGGATGACCTTTGCAACCCTACGCCTGACCCCCCCCCACCAAACTCCCTCTCAACGGCTCTGAGAATGGAATGTGGCCACTCACGTGACCGTTTCCATTGGCAACAGGCTTAAAGGGGCTCCGCATACCCGTAATCCAAACAATGCACACAAATTATACATATGCACGATTATTATACGAGAGTGAAACTTTTGCCCTGAGCGTCGACTGTACAACAGCGCCAATTCATTATGCACAGCTGCCAGTACGATTTTTTTTTATACAGGGAAAGAAGCATGGGTGTTATGACGCCATTAGGGAACAAGAGGCAAACACAATATTCAGCCATCCTTCAGGATGGGCCATTAATACTGACGGGTTTTCCCACTGCATTTTAACGCAAAACATGTTACCCATCGCCATACAATTGGAGCAGCGTGTGTGTAATGTTTTTGGGCCTGTGAACAAATTATCCGGAATGCATTCGGTGTCCTCAGATCTCGGAGACTACGCAGGGTTGAGGTTGCACAGTGCTTGGACGGGCGATCACTTTTGCATAGAACAGGTGCGTAGGCTGCTCTGCGGTTATTTTGTCAAAAGGTGCAAAAAAAAAGTCCATTCGGATGGTGAACTTCAATGCTCCCGCCTCTATGCTGCCTTCATTCACCAACCCGCAGTGGCGAGCATGGTCAAGTATGGTAAAATAACCCCCACAGGCTGCTGCAAGGCTACGTTGTCAGCATACAGTAGTGCAGAAAAAGCCAATGTCATACTGCCCGGTGTAGGGAGGCTCTCATCCAGCAGCGGATTGACAAAAGGCTTTACATGTGTAGCGTTTTATACCAGGCACATGTGCACATTCATAAACACAATATAGCCTCCAATTAAAATAAGATGAGTACTTGAATTTATACTAAAGACTGTAGGCATTTATTAAAAGCAGTATGTTCAGTTTCCCTGCCGCACCCTGTGCTGATAATAAACGGTGATAAATTATGTGCATCAGTGCCTTGGTCTGGGGCTATGAAGCCCGAGGGCTTTGGTTCCGACAGAATTGCCAGCGTTAAGGGGAAGATCGCCCCCTACAGGAGTATAGATGGGCCACCACTGTTGTTCAATCGCCAATCAAGGATTAACGATGCGAAATGCAACGGAAGGTTATTTCAACATCAGCCATGATCAATCCACTGGTGGATGAAAGCCTCCCCAATCCTCTGCCACAATCCATCATGATCCTGCGATGTAATAATCCACCGAGCACCTGCACGTGAGTTTATTTCATTTGTGCCCTCTCCTCGGTGGACATCCACTTGGACGTGTTCAATTCCTGGCTTTCCACTTCATAAAGAAGGTTATACAGCGTTATACCCATAACGCTCCACTCTAGCGCTGTGGTTTCATAAAAAAACTTACATTGCCGCCGGTCCATGGTTTACAGAAGGGATTAAACACTGCCAATAACTAAGGCTACCCAATGTCCCAGTGTGGCTGGGACAGTCTTGGTCCCAGAACGCCTGTCCCTGGTTGCCCGAAGCTTTTGTGAAAAATCGGGATTGTGTCGCAAGTTTAAATATTTTGGTGTCATGCAAAGGGCGGGGCCTACCCAAATTCTGGGTGGGGTTGGCAGGGGAGTGTGGGTGTAAACGTAGGCGAGGGTTGGGGGCGGTAGGGGGCTACCAGCTCACCAAATATCCTGGTTGAGCCTCTCAGAAAATGTGGTGACCTGGGAACCCTGCAGTACGTGGTTACAAAGCCTGACTTTGCCAATTAGCCCCAGAAGGAGGAAAACCAGTACAGAGTTTTTTGTGCTTATGCAACTCCTGTTGGTTCACATTTGTATGGATCTGAGAGCCAGTGGCAGACATAACACATTCCTATGGCAGGACCAGTTCATTATTAACAAGATGTTGACTCCAGCAAGGTAATTATCCACAAATCAAGAGCATATTTACAACAGAATATAATACAATACAAATCACAGCAAAAATATTGTTCATCCCTTTGACAAGTCACTGCTGGCTGAAGGCTTATGCACAGTCATGATGGATGTTGGCCTTGACTACGCTGATCAGTGCAGCTTAGTGGAGAGGCGGGGTTCGGTTCAATTGTTACGACAATAATATTTACCCGCGGCTGGAAATCAAACTCAGATCTCTGAATCTCACAGTTCACGGCGTAGTGTGTCACAGCTCTATTCATCTTATAATCTTCGACATATCGAGGCAGATATAACCACCTACTCTGGTCACAAATCTCATATGACCGTCCGTATGGACTAGCGCCGTTAATTTTACGCAATGTGATGCTCCGCTGCAAAGATCATTCTCCTGTTTCATAAAAAACCGAAATGTTTACCTGTATCCTATTACAAAGCATGTAACCATTCAGCCACGGTGATTCCATTAACCAACCACGATTCAGGAACGCGATTCGATGCCTGAAGCAAAGCATGTTTTGTCTCGTTCGCATTGTTTCTAAATTGTCTACCATCTATTTTGCAATTTGATCAAATTGCTCACAATGTTTGTTTGACTTTTATCGTTTACATTTTCCCCGTCTCATTTGTAGTTCACTCAAATAGCCCAAATGTAGCCTGATCAGATTTTTTTGTTTGTAAACAGTTGTAAAACCTGAAAAGCACCGCATAATGTATAATCAATTTAAAAATAAAGTATCAGGAGCCTGAAAAATATTACCAATCAATGAATTTATGTTTACACCCACACTGATAGTCCAATAACAAACAAAAAAAATTACAGTTAAAACCCAGTCTCGCACACTCATGCTGAAGTCTGTGGGCTTGTTATACCTCTTCGTTCTCGCGCCCGAGCAATTGGTGGAAATTACAAATCCCAATTAAGGGGGCCTGACACTTCAAAGCACAAACACTGATGACTTCTCTCGAAGAGGTAACAAAAGACTGGTCTGAATTGTGATTATAGAACTGTAATTGTGATTATACAACGGACAGGTCGGTCTTAATCGTGATGATGAAACGATACTTTTGATAATAAAGATAAGAATACATTCACGGTCAAACATGTAAACAGTAGAACACGTAGGCAACCCTTACTAGTTGGCTGTGGTGTCGGGTGGTGGCGGGTGTTAACGACACATTTATATATTTACGCGATCCAACCCAAAAACCTCTATTATGGATGTATACAATATTATGTAACCGCATACCGACTAATGATAATGGGCTGCAAATGTGATTCATAATTATCAGTCCTTTGCCAATTTAATTCACACGTTGGTTGAGCCTTACAGGAATGTGCTCATCTTACCAATAACAGCTGGAAAATCAACTATATACTCGGTAAAACCACCCACGTTATGTTGACAATCAAACGCATTTCATACAATTAAACGCGGCAACAAAGACATCAGACCGTACGTAAATAAAACCTGCGTACCACATTGGGGGACAAAATTCGCGACCCCTCTTTCCCAATGCATTGTTGGGGCGACAGCGCCACCTAACGACAGCGGCTTGGCATCAACCACTCACGGGGCCGTTCTCGTCACCAACTCTGGTTGGGGTGGGCGATAATTTAATCTACCAAAGGAGATTTTTTTTAATTTTATATATATAAAATAATTATAACACCGAGACGACAAAGTGAAAATAACTAAAATGGAAATGATAAGAGTGATATATAATTTAACAAAATATTTGGGAATGTTTACGTCCGTGAAAATGTGACGTCGCCTCGATGCGAGCGGCACCGCAGCAAAACTAAACGGGATTCGGCGAACGTTAAAATAATTAATTATAAACACACGCCCGTTAAATTAATTTTAAAGACAAAACAAATTTAATTCAAGCGGCGGCATTCGTCTCATCGTCGTCGTCGTGGCAGTACACATTTAAACTCCGCAAATGAAACGCGAGGGTCGTAAAAGAAACAAAACATTCTTGAGGTATATTTAAAAAAAAACAAAATGGTCAAAGTAGTGTACTGTATTGTGGAAGACGCCCAAGCGAGATGAGGACGAACACATCGCGTGGAGATGGAGCGATTAAATCGGTTCGCGAGCAATGCAATCGGTTCGGTTTGCGGGAGGCATTCGTCCAGCAGTGGATTTCTCACGGACGACGACGACGACATTGACGTTGTAAATCGAATGTTTGTTATCCAATTAAGTGAATAACCGCATATGTCAAACGGGAGGTAAAAAAGGGAAGCAGGTTTCTAAAGAATAATAATAACGGGAGTGGCAGGCCAAATGAATGGACTATTATTGCATCACAGGTTCGCGAGGAAAGCCGCGTTAAACCGTAAGGGAGATGGAGCGGTGAAAGCAGCTCATGTGTAGGTGTGCCGGGTGGATTGTCTTGGGGAGCAAAAGGGCTGTTTCATCCAGCAGTGGAGTGAGCATGGCTGATGATATCACGCTGGGCTCTATCACCCCCCCACCGCCCCACCTCGTCATCCGTGTTCATCCGATTCACTTTCGCAAAGAGGCACAAAGTGCGCAGGGGAAAGCAAAGTCGACCACGCACAAAAGTCGCCCGAGCACAACCCAACACGGGCAATGTCGTCGCGGCAAAGTCGACCAAAGTTGACTTTTGCAGAGCCCGACCTTGGCAAAGTCGACCACGAACGTATCCCTCGCAGTGAGACCTGGCAACTGTCGACTTGACGAAGTCGAACCCACAAAAAAAGTCCACCACAAGTTTACCTCACAAAGTCAACCACTGCAGTCGCCAATGTCCGGCACGGGAGACAATTAGGGTGGGGGGGGGAGGGAGGACTCTCGAGAGTTCTCCGGTGGAGGCGGCGCCTTCCGCCAGCAGCGGCAAGAGCGAGCAGTTGCAGGGCTGCACTTCTCCCACCACGTTCACGAGCACTGGGACCCCCCCCCTCACTAACTACACGGCGTTGCATAAACACCCCCCCTCTTCCTCCCCACACACTTTGCCACCGATAAACACGCAGCCACAACCGGCCCTCACCTTCTTCCCCCGCGCTTTGCGGCTGCATCTCATGTTGGCAGCAATGACGACGAAGATGCAGCTGCTGCTGATGATGTTGCAGATGATGGTGATGATGGCGTTGCTTGTTGCTGATTATGATGTTGCCGATTTTGGTGATGACGCCGAAGATGTTGCCGTAGCCGCTGTTGCCGATGATGGTGGAGGCGATGCCAATGATTATGCAGTTGCTGCTAATGATGACGACGATGTTTCTGGCGGTGTTGATGTCCATGTTGGATGTGGAGGCGACTCCGCGGGGCCACGCTGCCGTCGCACTTGGCGCTCGCTCGCATTCCCCACAGCGCACAAGCAACTGGCCAATCGCGCGCCCGCGGGGGAAGTCACGTGCGCAGGCGTCGACCAATTGAAAGGCGGAACGCGGCCGCTTCGCACGCGTTTGATGTGGGGAATCTAAAGCGGGCGGGGCTGGGAGTGGGAGAAGAGAGGGGCGGGGTCGGGGGGGGAGGGGTTCAAGTTCACGGTTTAGACGAGTCCACGTTGTCCACTATACCCCCACAATTATAACACACATTTTTTTTTAGTTACATTTATTTTAGCTACTTATATTTTGAGCCCTGCTGCATAAATCCTGAAGATGATGAAACTTAAAAATGATGAAACTTAAAGATGTTTTGTTTAGCGAGATAGTGCTGTAGATTAATAAAAGGACGGTGATAGTGTGGTTTATAGATATACTGTAATACAGTATATAATTGCGAACCATCCACTACCGCCACCCACAGGAACCCCCCCCCCCTTCTCCGCGACGAGAATGGTTTAGCCTGCGCAGCCGTTAGCGAAAAACGCGGGAAAATGCGACGGTGACGTCGCCGCGCGTGAGGCGGCCGTGAGGGGGCAGGGTTTCATCTCGTCTGCAAAAATTAGCGAATTCAACGCAATTGACGGTTTAATTACTCCGTCTGGTTAATATAGATTGAAAGTTATGTATAAGCGTGGATTGTATGTGGAGATACAATGTGTATCTCCACATACAATCCGCGATGAAAATATAGATTTTGCACGTTCAACCACCCCTTGTGTTACAATGCATATATAATGGTTTATTTTTCACTTGAAATGTATTCTTCTAGTTTATTTTCCACGAAGTAGAATCTAACCGTCCATGTGAAATAAAAAAAACTTGGGACAGGATATGCCCTTTTCCGGCCGCCATGTTTTTCCTTATACCCGCCAAAACCGCGCGTGACGTAACCCGTTCACGCCCCTTCCGCCTCACTGCGCCCCTCGGCTCGCGACTCCACCATTGGCTTCGCGCGCGCACGTGACCGGGCTGAGCCTCGCCGTGCGCGTGTGATGCGGTGGACTGTTCCACCTTTGCATCCGCCCGTGGGGGTGTTTTGTGTCGTTATTTGCAGCAATGCGCTTTGAGCAAATCGATGCGCTCTAAGTAATCACCCCCGCTCTGAAACCGTTAGCCGATGGGTTGTCCCCGAGGTGCCGTGTGCAAAGCGCGCGTAAAAGCAGCACCGCCGAACACGTGTCCGCATTTCTGTGGTTGCTCGCACGGGAGGTTGGTGGTGTCATTATCATCGAGCATCATTTTGTCTTTGTCGGCGCGATGTATGTTTTATATTTGATGGATTTAAAATATTTTTTTAGAAATGCTGCTGAAACAGGGGGATGATGGTGGTCTCTTGGACCAAACGGCGTTGGGAACGAGCGAAAAAGAAATGTTTTTGCTTTCGGTGCTGGTGGTTGTGATGGTGGTGCTGCTGCTTTTGGAATGAGTTGGTTTTAGCGCAATGGCGGGGGGAAGGCGTCGTTTGTCGCTTCGACGGAGGCCAAAAAAAAATTTTAAGCCGGAAAAAAAATTTAACCCAAAAAAAAGAACCGACGCCCCTGGTGACAGACGAGAGGTCCGTCGGTGCCGGAGCCAGCCAGCCTAGCCAGCCCGTCCGCCAGCCCGCCTGCCCGCATGGCCTCTAACAATGGGAGCCCGCCGTGTGTTGTGGCGGCGCCTGCCCGCCCTTGCCGCCCGCGCCTGTGTGTGTTTCTCGCGTGCGAGCAGAGTAAAGAGCAGCAAAGAGGCGTCGACACAGGAAACCAAAAGCCCCCCCCTCTCACTTCCAATCAACAAAAAAAAATTAGATAAAAAAAATTTAATTTTGAAAATTTTAGCGAGCCAGCCAATCGAATCGACATGAGCAGCAACGAGTGTTTCCGATGCGGAGGCTCTGGCCACTGGGCCCGCGAGTGCCCCAATGGAGCCGGTGGGGGCCGGGGGCCCGGCGGCCCTGTCGGACGTGGAGGCCGCGGCCGAGGAGGTAAATGCGGCCCCGAGAGGGGATCGGTGGGGTGTTTGGGGGGGTGTGACCATACTTGACCTGTAGTGACCGGATCAGTTTTGACTTGATGTGACGTGGTAAAATGGTTTGACGAGTTGATGTTGCGGGAGGGGGGGGGGGCTATACCCCCCCAAACCCATGTGAAACTTAAAATCGTGACCAGTTGAAAATATTTGTTTAACCCGTACTCGACTAAACGGATACGATCGGACGACGTGACCAGAATAATTTATAGTTTTGTGTGAATTTCGTTTTAAAATTGCACCGAATGTATTAACGTGAAATTGATTCCGATCGAGTTTTGATTTTATCGGATTTTTTTTAACCGAGGCAGAAAATATGCAGAAGGGAAAAACAACTCAACGACTTAGCCATTTTAACACGAGGCTGGGGATGGCTAAAATAATAAAACAAAAATGACTACCGTGGTTAAAAATGTAATCTACGTGAAAAAAAGACTTGTCGCGCGTGTCATTTGTACGTAAAATGTTATAATTTTTAACAAAAAATGACCACCCCCGCGCGTGACGTGTCCATGTGGCGCTGTGGGTCAAAAACGTGGTGATGGCGGTGATTGCGGCGGGAGCGAGCCATTGTTAACGCGAGGCGAGCGCCGTAGTAATCATTTTAAATACCCGACAAGAGTACAAAACGAGAGCGTTGATGTTGAGCTCGTGCTTTTTTTATTTTAACACGTTCGGAATTAAGTCGAGGAGCAGGGAGAGGAGGTGGGGGGTTATTAGAAGATTTAGAAATGGGGTGGTGGGAGCTTTATTGTAAAAATGAGAGAAGCCTTGTGGGGGGATGGGGGGGGTTCGGAGATTTAAAAAGGGGGCGGGGGGGGGTTGAAATTTTATTGTGAACATGAGATGGGGGGGGGGGATGAAGAGTGAAGCCGTGGTGGGGGTGCGCGCGTGGTGGTAGCGGCGGGCGCAGAGTGTCGAGATGACGCAGCTGGGAACGAGGCACAAAATGGCGCCGCTGTGCGGCTGCCGAGGCGAGGGGCCGCGCCCCGCGACCACGAGGGAGGAGGAGGAGGAAGTGGCGGCGGCGGCGGCGGGAGGAGGAGGAGAAGCGGTGGTGGTGGTGGGGGGGGTGGGAGGAGAGGCGCGGCCGACTCCATTTAGCGAGAAGCCGAGCCAGCGGCGACGGCCGTTTTGAGAGGCGGAAAAAGTCCGTCGGTGTGGTTTTTTTTTAAATGCTTGATTGCGTGGAGGAGGTTTGGTTTTTTTAAAACGCAAAAATTAACGCGGGGTTTCGTGGCGCGCGCTTGTGTGTGTTTTTTTTTTACACATTTCACAGATGGATGCTATCGCTGCGGCGAAGGTGGCCATATAGCGCGCGAGTGCCCGTTGCCCCAAGACAGTGAGATGGCGCCATTTGCACCACCACATTCGCACACACGCACATTTGCTGAATTGTATATTGGTTTAAAATAAATGATTTTATATTTTTTTAAAAATGCAGCAGCTTGATCACGAAGGCCCCCCCCCCCCATCGGCTATTTTCGATGGTGTATAATAAAACCACTGGCGTTTTATATTTTTTGTATCGCATGAACACGCTGGGTCGTGGTGCGTGAGTTTTGAAGGCTCTTAAGGGCAATGCATTTGCTGCTAAAGATATTTATCCGATATGATTTTTTTATATATAAATTCGCTCAAACCAAATGTTACGGATGTAAAATTGGTCAATCGTAATGTGCTGCATGTTAATTGGAATGTTTGCGTGATTTTTCATGAGCCGTTTAAGGAAATGGAAAACATCGTGAGGATGCATAGTGCATTAGTACACAGAAATTAGGCTACTAGTCCAAAACGATAACATTTTATAGAAATTAAGCAAATTTACGAGTTGCAAATGATTACATTTAAACATACTCGTGTTAATTCATAAACAGGGACTTAAAGATTCTTAGTTTTAGAAATCTGGTCCGTGCACTGTGGATAAAAGGACTAATTTAACGTTAATTATTAAACCTACAACATTTAGGGCCAATTAAATGTCGCATCGGATTGACACTTATTTTATAAGACTTGCCAAATGGTATAATTTACGTTGGCCGATGCATAAATTCAGCAGCTATTTTACCCGTGTTGCACGCGCAGCTGGTTATTTTAAGTAACTGAGCAATCACCACAGCAGTGCGACTTACGACCATTGTCGTTCTCCCAAAATAAAAAAATCCATTTCTGAAATTTCCGACAAATGCTGGAGAGGGTGGTATGAGAGGCGCCCGCCCCCCACCTTTGCACTGAATTGACCTGAATGAGTGTGGTTTTCGTGTGTATGTGTCTCTTCAAACACCGCAGCATGCTACAACTGTGGCAAGGGGGGCCACATCGCGCGCGAGTGCCCCGAGGGCCGGCAGGACCGCGGCGGCGGACCCAGCTGCTACACGTGTGGCAAGCAGGGCCATCTGGCCCGCGAGTGCAGCAGTGGCGGCGGTGGACCCGGAGACAACAAGTGCTACGGGTGCGGCCAGCGCGGCCACATGCAGCGCGACTGCACCAAGGCCAGCAGATAGAGGGAGACAGGTGAGGGAAGGGAGCTGTGAGCGAGCGCCTGGTGGGTTTCGGAGGGCTCCCCCGAGTTGGTGAGCTGGGTGTGGGTGGAACGCAATTTCCCTGGGGTGGTGAATAGCCATTGATTTTTGTCACCTGGAGCAATTAAAATGAGGCTGTTTTCTAATGAACGGTGTTGGCTGTAGTTGCGGTGGATTTGTTAATAGGGTGTAGCCCCCATGGTATGCATGTCAAACTCTTGTGTAAACTTGTTCAAAATTAAAGGTTCGAGCCTATCCATGAACGAGTGTTTCAGGGCTACATCTGCTAATATGCTTGACGTCCATGTTTGGTTGTAAATTTGGCCCTTGCAGATGGGTCTAGGATTAATAGTTCCTGACAATTGATTTGTGGCTAACCAAATTGTCTTGGTTTTAAGTCTTATTTTTGCATACTAGTCTAAGTATGTATGCGTTTGACATCCTGGAACCTACAGCCTGAGATATCCATGTTTTAGGAACTGGACTGATGGAAACTGATTTGCACTTATGGGAAGACTAGATAAAATACCATTTATGCTATCAACAAATGTGGTATTTCTCCCAATTCTCAACTTATTCCACACCCTGGCTTACAGGCAGGGATTGAGTTGAAAATCCCGACCGTTCGGTAATTTGGTTGTCACGTCCCCTTGGCTGTGAGACTCGGTTGAATACCTTTTTTAAGGTTGTCAATGGGTCCAGTATGTCGACTTTTACATTTCAGGTAGGGGGGGGGGGCAGCTCTTTGGGCAATCTGTGGGTTCCCAGGCGTTTCCTCCTGCACTAATAAATGGACATTTGAAAGTTTATGCAAGGGGGTGGCCCTTTGGCAACGAAACAAACATGTTGCTTGTACAAAGACCCATTTTTGTAATTTGACCCAAAATCCATTAATTTACACTTGGAAGCTAAGGTGTGAAAAAATGCCTCGTTCAGACGACTTGCCACCTGACGTTCTTTTCCCGTGTCTGTCTGCAGGTGGATGCTTGCCAGGGAAGCAATGAAGGACGCATTTGAGTGCAGCCACTCGCTGGCTGCCATCGTCCCAACGTGCTCGCTGCATGCCTCACCCCCCTCTCAAAGGCAGACATCGCTTGGCCCCATCCAAATCACCGAAAAATATTTTTCTTGTTTTACTTTTTGATGTTTCCCGTTTAAAAAAAACAATTGTGTTAATTTCTGTTTGGTTTATTTTTCTCCGCTAAATGTTTAGTGCTCTCACCAGTGTAGATTGAGGAACTTTGTTGCATTGGGTTACCATAAGTGGAAGGCAAAAGGGGAAAAAAGAAACCCACTGCCATAGAAATCTTGATCGCATGTAAATCAGGCCTGCCCTGGAATTTGATTCCCATCCTGAGGGGGTGGTGTTACACTTTGGATTCCCCCCGCTTCGTGTAGGACTTGTCTGGGGGGGGGGGGGGTGATTATTCCATGTTTGTCCAGTAATGGTGCATTGTTGAGACAAGATTCCAGGGTTGTATATTGGCCTAGTTAACTTGCGACATTGCTTTCTGTGCTTGTTTGGGGGGGGAGGGGGAGGTGTTTTCTTTAGGCACCACAGCCAGCTGCCCCGGCTTGAGTTTAAAAAGAAAAAAACCTGTCTCGTGAGCTGCTCACAACTGTGTTAAAAACAAATGACTCAACAGTTTGAACAACACATAGGTGTTGTTGGGATTTGTTTTTAAAATATGTTGTTGTGGTTTCCTGCATACTAATAAAAAAAAGTTTAATATGAAATGCTTTGTAAACTTGTTCTTCTCAAAGGGGTAGCTCACCTGGAAAATGGCCTATTTGTAACATTTATTTCCAGTACACTTTTAAAAATATTTAATTCCCTGTGGTAGATGGACTTGCCTGCTGATATTTGCAAGGTTTGAGGAAAAAATCATTGCTCACATTTCCAGGGCGGTGAGTACTTTTCAAGGCAAATATTTGTAAGGGCAGTTGTCTGTTTTGGAGGGTTGGTAAATGTTCAATGGCCTCTTGGAAATATTGCACTCCAAGCAATAACTAGGGTGGCCACTGGATTAAAACCGTGAACTTCTGCAACAAGTACAAAGTATACAAAAATTGTGACCATTTTGAAGGCACGTGGTTTGACATTTAATAACCAAAAAACTTGCATAACCCACCACCATGGTTTCACCCCCCCCTCCCCATTCAACCGTAAATGGCAAGCCGAAGGCATCCATTCGCTCAATGTAGAAATTGCACCACCTACAGGATATCCATTACAGGATGGTGGATTTCTGGAACGGACAAAGAATTGGCCACTGACCAGAACAAGGGATTGTGCTAAGTATTGAAAAAGAAGCCTTTGTACTTGTTCGTGGATGTTGCATGGAACGTTGAAATTGTTGAAAGTAACTTAGAACTGTAGAATAGTACAATTCATGTCTAGATTATAAGCACCCAAAACTTGTGACTATCAATAAAGATGTACAATTCTGCTTACACATGCCTATCAACTTTTTCAAATACATGGGAGTGAGCATACACGGTGGTACGGTTTATATGAACCAGAAGCGACGGTTGCAATGGGTGTGAAACGGGGGGGCAGGTTATGAAAGGAAGACGGGCATAATTTCACAGGTTATCGATGGGCAGACAAAGCGAAGCTGGTGACGTCTGAGCAGCTTTTAGTGGTTAACTGCTGGTAGAGGTGATGGCGAGGTGTGAACTTCGATAGCCCAATGCTCATGTGAAGGTAAGCACCCTGATAATTGCTGATAAAAGGGACCCGTTCAGTGAGGACTTTCACGAATGGGAGCATGACTGCTGATGAGTGAAAAACGTGTAATATGCAGAATGGAGTTATTGGCTCAATGTGAATGATCGTTCTACAGACTTACAACGTAGAATTAAGGTGGTGAGTTTTTATTTGTGCTTGTACATCACTGCCCATGGCAGTCCCTCATTTGACTTAATCGGATACACGAGCGTGATCAATTATTTGTGAACTCGGCATCTTTAAAAAGTAGGCACGTAAAAATCCATCAATTTACACTGATCCTTGTGCTCATACAAAAGAATTGGATACACGTGTAAGAGTTCTTTATAATTGATGGTAATTACACTAAGATTATTTTTGTTCCTGGGTAGTGTTATTTCCTAATTGCTTATGCCTCAGAGTACAGAAAATGGGTGTGATTCCCCACAAACTTTGCTTTTGTGACCAGGACAGTGATATTTGGACATTTACCTATTTTCCAGATAGATTCAGTGCTGAGTAAACTTGGAGTAACTTCTAGAACATTCTAGAACTTTGCAGTAATATAAATAGTATAAATGTAGGGGCCTTAAGCCCACCAGTTCAGTTTGGTTCCAGCTGCCTAAGTGGATACATATCTGCCTTTTTCTGAGACGGCATCAAGAGTCTACAAGCATCCGGCAGACGCATTTTGCTTCGTCGGCAGCCAATGTATCAATACAAGAGCGAAAAAGTCCTCTGTAGAAGCATCTGCTAAGATTGTGAGGCCTCCAAGGCATATTTCGGCATGCCTGTCGGGGATCAAGACAAACCCTGGGCACATTTCACCTGCTACAATTAAACAAAACTCTGGAAGGTAAGATGGACAATTTTTGCTCGGAATTTTGTTACAGAACTTGTTACATTTAAAATTGTAAAAGTTTTTATTTTAAAATGTTTTACAATTTTAAATGTTATTGAAAAAATCTATATGAAAAATGTTGTGAGAATCTCTTACACATTAGTCACGGGTGAAAAATGTATTTTTGTAAGATGGTACAGAGGGTAAAAGAGCCATGAACTTGATTAGGTGCTTTCGTGACTGCAGGAATTACTCTTTGGTTTTTTCGGTAAAGTCACGTAGAAATAATAAATAAAATTATATAATAGCATACGTTTCGATTGCAACACAAGAAATCATCAGGTACATCGGTACAGATGTACCTATAATAGCATACCACGTTTCGATTGCAACACAAGCAATCATCATCAGGTACCTGATGATGATTGCAATCAAAACGTCGTATGCTATTATATAATTTAATTTTTTATTATTTCTACATGACTTTACCGAAAAAAACAAAGAGTAAGAGCCATGAAGTTCGCTATCCCAAGAATTTGGCGGGAACCCACTGACCACTCAACTGTTACTTCTGCATGGTGGACCCTTCCAAACGTCGGACTGGCAAGAATGCACCTGCTTTTACCAGTAAGGAGAAAGCTGCTTGGAACAGCTTTGTCGCAGTGGTTCGTGGCTTCCTGGGCAATCACACGTTCAAAAACTACGTGGAGCTGGTTGAGACTGGTGAAGAACTACGGCACAATGGGCTGTAGGATGTCCCTCAAAGTCCATATCCTTGATGCTTATCTTGATACATTCAAGAACATGGGAGCGTATTCGGAGGAGCAAGGCTAACGCTTCCACCAGGATATACTGGACTTTGAACGCCGCTACCAGCATAATCGTAAATCTCGAAAAACTACTCACTTCTAAATCTTTTGTAGTAATTTTTGTATTACTTTAATATAAATACATGTTGGTTTTTTCTGACTTTATATGTGAACAAATTCGCCCGTTTGTTCATTCAAAATAGGTAAATTTCTAAAGATCACTGTCCTGGTCACAAAAACAAAGTTTGTGGGGAATAAGACATTTTTTTATACTTTTTAAGCATAAGCAATTACGAAATGACACGATCCAGGAACAAAAATTGTGCTACATAGTGTTATAGATGTAAATGTTGCATTTAAACTAATGTAACAAGGTAGACCAAATCAGATGGTACAAGCCCTGCAAATGCATGCTCATGCCACTGCTGGAGTAAGGGCATCCACTGTAGAACTTTAAGACAGCCACTCTAAGAGGGTATTTTGGCTCATCCTTCTACACTATCTAGTTTTATCTTGGATAAATCGGCCGACTGTGGCCTCTACCCATTTATACTGCTGGGTGGCCCAAGACGCCGAATTTAATAAACTTGCCCGATTGCTTCAAGCGCTGGTGGCACGAAATAGAATTGAACCGGTGACCTCATTGATTGCAAGTTCAGTGTTGATCACCATTACACCACGGCAACAGCACAGTGACAACACAACACTTCATTCTCCAATCAAATCGTGACCGCGCATCTTGAAATTTCTGCCAATCATGGGGTTGCAGTGGGGGGCAGATCATTACATGCCTACTCAAAATGCGGCTTAGCTTCCACAAATTTTGTGAAACTGCCTCGACGTTAAAATGTCCGTGGTGAGCAGTCTGTTGATTTGGCACGGCTTACGCCAATGCTCTTTACATAGCAGTGTCTGCTTATAATAAAGGCGCTATGCACAAATGCGCCAAATTATGCTCAGCAGTGCCATGGCTAAGCCAGCTTAGCGAAACAATCCCAAGTGACGCAACAACATCCATTTGGAAATTGAGTTCTCGCTCAATTTGGCAGAAACAGCCCGCTGGCCGGGGTCTGGCCTGTCAAAACTGACGAACGTGGTGACGCAAGCCACGACACCACCACTCGAATCCCAATTAGAATCTAGCGCCGAGACGCTTGGGAGGTTTTTTTTGGTAGAGCACTCCATTCGCACGCAGCTCATCAGCACACAATTCGACACGGGCCCTCTTTAAAGGGACATGACCATCCACCACACATTAAGGTGCTGTTGAGCGGCTGAAAGACAATTTTTTTTAAAGCCAGCATCTGTCGGCTGCTGAACGCCAAAATGTCAACACGCTCTCCCCCCCCCCCCCCCGTGCCTGCGGCTCCACGCTAAAAAAAACTGTCGCAGCCACGTTTTGGTTTTTTTAAATAAGGCGACATTGGGTGGCAGAGCCGCGCAGCGACCGGCTCTCGAGGTTTGCAAAAAAAAAGACGGCGCCGTGACGTTACGCTCCGACCACGTGGCAAAGCGACGAACGGCGCTTGCGTTGTACATCTATCATTTTAATGCTTGGCAACAAAATTGGGTCAGGCGCCAGAAGCTTGGCAAATGGTTCTAACTGAAATCGGCGGACCAGAAATCCCTGCCTTCCATGCCCTGATATGTGTAGATTGCTTCCGAAAGGAAGCAATGTGTAGCTCACCAACATTAAATTCAAGTGCTGTGTTGAATGATGGAAGGTTTTTTTTAACTATGATTTGTTTGGGGACACGGACAGCATGGACGGGGAGTGAAGTCCCTTTAAAAAAAATCCCTGAACCTCTGGCCAAGCTTCAGGCACAAACCTGACCCCGACCTCACCACCTTTCAGTGCAACACGAGATTGAAATCGGCTTCTTCATTCACGTCAGCTTCTCGTCGCGCACAGACGCCTACACATTCTAACATGAAACAGCATCGCACTAGGTTTGTGTCTAGTCAAGAATATAACCCTATGCTCGCCCCTGAACTTGGCAAGACTGGGCGAGTTGTGGCTGGAATCTACCATGGGCCCTGACTGCGATCTTAGCTGCTTGTCGAAGGATAAAAGGCAGGATCCTGAATGCTCTCGTCGTGAATATGAATCAGTGGCCAAAAGTGAAGCCCACACGCTGTATAATTTAACCAGAGAAAGCTCACCTCGCACAGTGACTGACCAGCACATGTCGCAAGCCGCCAGCAACAGAGCCATTGTCTCCAGACGAGTGACCACAAGCAGCAACTGTCAGGGGCTGGGAACCGTTCATCCTCTATCACAGCGGTAAAGGCGCAGCTGTGCAATTGCTTGCTCATGGCAATGGCTGGCAGCTCTAGAGAGAGCTCCCTCTAGGTTTTTTTTTGGTCTACTCTTCCACGCTGGCCAAACGTCTTGGAAGAGGTGGGAGCACACCCACCACACGTGACCTTACAGAAAATGCTGAGGCGGACGGAGGGGGTGAAGATTTAATAAACTCGCCCACCGTTTCAACTGCCACGCCATGGGATTTAATCGAACCGGCGACTTCTGGATTGCAAATCCATCGTGATATCCATGGGTTCTGCTTAAATCCCAAATTGAGATGGCGATGTGCTGCTCACATGACCAGGTCAGACAAATCAACGTAAAATGTATCTGCAACATATTTGTTTTGCGGTTTGCGACTCTTCATTTAGCATTTTAAGACGCACTGTTTGTCGTTTCGTTTTTGCTGCATTATTGCTGAAAAGCTTACAAAAATAACCGCTTTTGTTCACCTTTAATATATACCTTTACAAGGCCATCTTATTCAAGAGTGAAACTAAAACCCTAAATGATATGTAAAAGCTTATATATTTACAGCGTTTATTCCATAATTATTCAATCACTTAAGTTCTTTTAAACGTTCATATTTACTTTCAGACAAATTACTCTCAAAGGATTTTGTTGCTTGATTATTTTTTTTAAAACACGCACAAAGCTTAAGCACAGGGCCAGAGCCGATTATCTTTTCTACCTGCATTAAGTCGGCACCAGCTTCCCCATACGCTAATGCTCATTTAATTTGTACACATGCCCACCTATACAACCATGAGTACCGTTGTACCAAGGAACACACGCATAAAGGGACACAGAAAACTTTAAATGTCAGCTCCCCGTTGTACAAAATAAGAAAAAAAATAATTTTTTGAGTGTTGCGGTTTTCTGCCAAGACAGTTGACCAGGTATTTTACTCACCACTCCCCTCAGTTCCTATTGTTTTTAGAAAAGGTTGAAAACATCATAAGTTAAGCCCCGTCCTACGGCAGCACGGGGGAAATCCCGTTAAAATGGCTGCAGTATCGCAAATCCCAGGAGCAACCGGCGCGCCAATCACGCAGCAGCAACGCTCTCGCAAAATTCTATTGTCAAAATTTTGCTTCCACTGCCGTAATTTTGGCCGTCACCTACTGCCATCTCTCTTAACCTTTAATCACTTAATGTCTTACCATCCCACTCCACGGTAAGCACACCTCAGGCAGCCAGCTAACCTTGCGTGGAATTAAAGCACCGATTGTGGATTAAGGGGTCAACGAGAACGGGAGGCACGGGGTTGCAGGCATCTTTGGAAAGGGTTGTGTACGAGCACTGTGTGTCCGTGCCTTCCCGCGCACAGGTGCGTTGAGCCGAAGGGAGAACGCGAGCGAGGTTGCTTGTTAAGACACGCGAGAGTAAGAAGATGGAGACAGTGGCGTACACCGCCCCAGGGCCTCTTCCTCCCCTTACGCTTAACCAGTCACTTCTCCATCGCGCGCGGTATCGCACACCCACCTCTATATATACACCACGCAAAGCAAATTAATTACATTGGCCGACGGGTGAACGTGAGAAACGTTGATCGTGATGTTATGCGTATAATATATACTAATTATTAATTTCAAAATAATAATAAGTCATAATAATTTATAATCCACCTACGCATTCTGCAGATTTCATGAATGTGCCTATATGCAGTAAGGGAGTGAGGGGAGGTTAGGGAAATATTTAAAAAGATTTAGAAGTTCAGATAAACACATACTTAAGGCAAGGGGGCTTGCCCTGTTTTGACAGTGATGACACGCACAGCAGTGTAAAGCCAACATTGGTGCCTTGGAGCCTGGGTCTAGTGACCCAACACCAATGCCAGAGGCCAAGAGGCAATGCTAATGGACTAAAGGTGATGCTGGTAGCCACATAATACTTGCAATTCAATGCCAGCGGCCTAAAGGAAATTTTCTAGGGACCAATGCTAGCTGCCTAACATGTGTTAATATCCTACAATAGCACGAGTGTCCTGAAAGCAATATTAGAAGTTCCGTGCCAATGCTAGCAATCCAGCAAGAACAGTAGCCTATCGCCAGAGGGATAATGCCAACGCTCATGACCCAACACAAACATTAACAGCCCATGTGCCAGCGTCAGGGGGACTAACGCCAATGCTAGAGGACCAAAGGGAATATTCACACGAGGGTACAGTCAAACCGGACACACACACATAACAAACACTTGCACGCACACTGCAGCACAACAGAGAGAGCGCGTGATAGCGCGCGCATGCACGAACACACAAGATGTGCAACAGACACACATGCACACACGCAGAGAGTGGAGCCAAGCGTGTTTTCGAGAGGCTCCAGGTTGAGCGTGCTCGTGTGTGTGTGAAACACCACACAGTGCAACAGACACATGAGTGATGGGCAGAGAGGGGAGCCGAGATTGGATCCAGGCTGCGCGGCTATTCCTGTGTGTGTTTTGGGGCAACGCACACGCGCACAAGTGGAGCCAAGCGCGGAGCCGAACGCGGAGCCTAGCGCGCATGGGCATGGGCCCCTGTCTCTAAGCACGAGTGGTGATGAGGAACTTGGGCGAGTTGGAGGCGTAAAGTCGGGCCTCGTCTGGCTGGATGCCGACACGGTGCAGCGACGGCTCCGAGGCGCTGCGGTGAATCTTGGGCAGGGACTTCTCCAGCAGCTCGATGGATGACAGGATCTGCACGGGTGGATAGCAAACACGCGTGTTCAAAACGCACACATGGAAAAGCAGAAGTGTGTTGCTACGTGCTTGTACGCTTGCACATACACGCACATATGCAAGAGCACAAGTACACACATGGACGTGCACAAACACATTAATGCAAATGTACGCATACACACCATGTACAGTATTCACGTCGCCCCGAGATGCCTGGATCAGTCTTAGTTTACTTAAATGCCACCCACCACCCCCCCCCCCCCCCCAATTTGCCAAGTCTATACATGCTATAAATCAAAGTGTAAATTGTTTCGGTTAATTTGGTTGTTTATCTATTATGCGTTTTTTATGAGACAAAGAAAGGAAACGACAAAATAATCGGAAAATTTAATGGTACAGTGACTCCAATGTTGGACAATCTAATCCCTTGGTGGAGGGGGCAAGAGGGGGATGAATCATTGCCCGCCCATCTGTATGAGGCTGAGGTAAACCCGGAGTTAATTTATGACACAATACGCTCCGCATCGCCGGTGAGAGGTGGTAATGAGGGGCAGTAATGAGGGGCAGTAGTCAGGGGCGGTGTTGAGGGACGCTGGTGAGAGGCGTTGGCGAGGGGTGGTAATGAGGGGCGGTAATGAAGGGCGGTAGTGAGGTGGTGAGGGGCAGTAGTGAAGTGGAGTGGTGAGGCCGGCAGTGTGGGATGGTAATGGGGGGCAGTAGTGAGGGGCGGTAGTGAGGGGTGGTGGTGAGGGACGGTAGTGAGGGGCGGTAGTGAGGGGAGGTGGTGAGGGGCAGTAGTGAGGTGCAGTGGTGAGGCTGGTAGTGTGGGATGGTAATGGGGGGCAGTAGTGAGGGGCGGTAGTGAGGGGTGGTGGTGAGGGACGGTAGTGAGGGGCGGTAGTGAGGGGTGACGGTGAGGGGCGGCGGTGGGAACGGGAGACCCGACCTGTGGAAAGAGTGGCCGTTCCTCCCTTTTCTTCTTGATGCAGTCGACAATGAGGCGTTTCATCGCTCTGGGGCAGTTCCCGTACGCCTCACCCAGGTCGGGGGACAGGTAGCCCCGGCCCACCATGAAGATGATCTGAAACGTATGCAAACACGCACGCGTGGGCACATGCTCATTTCAGGAAAGAAATCGGCGCAAAAGGAACAGAAAAAAAGACTAATAAAAAAGACTAATATAACGTCATCTGAACACAATTAAGGAAAATAAAAAAAAAGGAAAATAACTACAAACTCAAAACATTTGCTAATTACTTCGGATTAAAATTTAACATTCTAAATAATAGGTGACGTTTCAGGCAATGGCCCTTCTGCACAGCACATACAGCGACGAATATGTCGAGTATTTGTTGTTTGTGCTTGAGCACCACTGCCCACTGGAGTATCACCGAATAAATAATCTGTAACATGTATTCATGTGGTCAAAAGCCCTCTCCGGCCTGAGTGCAGAGAAGAAGGGAATTCTGTGTAAGCAGGTCCTAGGGGAGATGGGTGGCAGGGGCAGGCACTCAGTGTCGTCTCAAAGCGCTCTATGTGCTACGGGCTCCCTTGCCCGCAGGGGAATACGCAATGTTATGAATAAAACGCTTCTTTGCAGGCAGCGACCAATATAAACCCGCGAGGCACGCGTACACTTCGTGCAAAACACACACGGACGCGCACAACGAAGGGGAGACCAAAGCGTGAGGGGGCAGCAGCCATGGGCAAAAAAGTGGGAAGAGCAACTGCAAAGGGATGAACGGAACATGTGCAACGGCTACCTGATGGACAACTGACACGTGAATAGCAGTTTACTGATAGACGAGTGCAAACCGAGTGATGGGCGAGTGACGGATGAGCGATAGGCACACGGGTGACAATCAACCGATGGCCGGCTAAAAGGTGATTGACGAATGGGTTATGTGACTATGAGTGAGGGGTAACACGATGTCTTATTCTAATCACTCAGCTATTTCAATGCTAAATTATCCTGTTTGATTTGTACTAGGTGCCTCTGTGGATGTGTAAGCTTTGACTTTAACATAGCTATTTCTATGACCAGTCACAAGCTAATCACTCAGCTATGTCAATACTAAATTTTCCTGTTTTATATGTAAACCCCTTTGTCAAGGTGCCTCACCTCTCTAAACCAGCTTAAAAGACGCTAAGAATCTTAACAACGTTCATTGAAGCTGTCGTCCCGACAGGTCTGTTCCTTTCACCTGAAGGCCACTTGTGTTGTGGCCGAAACGTCGTGAGAATTTTATTGTGTTATTTTATTTATTTATTATTTTATTCTCATTCTACGTGACTTTACCGAAAGAACCAAAGAAGATGAATCCTTGCAGTCACGAAAGCTTTAAATCGAAAGGTAACACGATGGTTAAGGAATGAGAAAAGAGTGACACAAGTGGCTGATGAGAGATAGACAAGTGACTGATGTGGAGGATGACAAGACACTTGTGACTGGCGAGTGATGGTAGGCAAGTGACAAGAGGAATGAGGGGGAATGAGTGGCACACGTGTGACATGTCTTGGGCAAGCGACGAATAAGCGAGAGACAAACACTTCAACTGGCACGCACGAGCAACATCAAGTGCAACGGATGAGCGATGGATTCACGTAGGCCAAAGCAATCAGTTATCGAGCAAAGGGCGGGTGAGGGGGGCGGCACCTGGTCGCGGTTGCTGATATTGGAGTACGGTAGTCGCCCCGTCATGAGCTCGAACAGGACGATGCCAAAGCCGTAGACGTCAGACTGGAACGTGTAAGGATTGTCCTGCATGCGTATTACCTCCGGCGCCTGCCCGCACACACGCGCACGCACACAAAAAACTGAGGTTTACAACAAATGAAAGGAGACGATGGGAGCGAATTCCAGATAAAAAATAAGTGTGACGGAAGTAGCATAAACAGAAGTACTGTGACCTGCAGTGTGGTGAGTGGGTGAGAATGTGTGTGGGAAGCGGTAGTGTAGCAGTTAGCGCGCTGCGCTACAAACCCAGCGCAACAAAGTTCCATTCCCATTCGCGGCCACCAACAACATCGGTGACGATTATCTGAACCGGTCCTGGGCCTCCCCTAGGTCGACTCAGCCTCGAATTAGTACCTGGTGCGGTGTAAACATCACTACTTGGGAGACAAAGGGGGCCGGGCATGATGTTGGCCACCCACCCCTTCGTGTGGAGTGCCGGCCTTCATAGGTGCTCGCTAACAGCACTTGCAGTCAATTAAGGCTACACGGGGGATATTTGTCTTTGGGTGTTTGGGTCAGTGGTTGGTTGTGTTGTTGTGACCTGCAGTGTCGTGGGGTTTGAACACAGTGTGGACGAAACGAAACAGTCAATTTGGAAGACCAAGTCCTCAACACGGATGGCACAATGAATGAGTTAACAGGAACAGTGGCCATGGTAGTAACGATAGAAGAGTGACAAAGGACGCCACTGACCGCTGGTGAGCGAGTTAATCGAGTGAGTCACCGAGTGTTGAATCATCGATCAATCGCAAGAGCTTCGATAATGACACGCACTTGTGCAGTACGGCCCTTTGTCAATCCACTGCTGGATGAGGGCCTCTGCACACCATGCGGGTCGTAACGGACTGACCGCACTTCACCACGCAGCGTAGACATGGGAGCACAGAATTGCACCACAAATGGATTAGTGGAACGAGGTGAGAGAGATGATGAGAGAGGCGAGGGAGGTGAAGCAGATGAGGATGCGGAGGGGAGCCGCACCATCCAGAGGATGGAGCCGGACGGCTGCTCCAGCTGGTGGGAGCCGCTCCAGCGCGACTTGACGGTAGCCAGGCCAAAATCACCGATCTTCACCGTCAGCGCCTCGTGCAGGAAGATGTCTGACGCGCTCGTGTCAAGGCAAGACAGCCGGCGGAACGGGCGTGGGGCAATCGAGACGCAAGCCGCCACAGACAAAAGGTGACAGAATCAAGACGAAAAAAAAAGCAAAGCATCGTCACCAATATCATCATTAACCATGACCATTCCACCGCTGCACGTAGGCCTGCCCATGTTGTCACCATCCTGCATGAGCCCGCGATCCACCCAACACCTGAACACAACATAATTTCACCGTTCCAACAACACGTTGGATGTCCTTCCGGGCATGTTCCATCACTTGTCTGCCTGTCCATCTCTCCAGGCTTCTTTGTGCACTTTTCGGTTTTAGTTAAAATGTATTTTGTCATATCCACATATCTGATCCATAAAACCATTGGTTTATAACCTTTTCTTTAAGGCACAATCATGATCATTATTATCATTGTCAAATGAATCTCCTCTCAGTGAACACACTTAAGAAGGTTATGCTTTAAGACATGTTTCCGTCAACTGCAAATAATATGGAACTAGCTTTACTACCCGGCTTCGCCCGAGACTTGGATTCTTGTCTTGGATTAATACACGGCCTACGCGGAGGGTGGGGAGGGATGCGTGACGTCAGCAGGCACACTGCGTAACGCTGCCGCATGCGGGTGACATCACAGATGTGACGTCACCGCTCAATTGCCGTGCAAAATATATCCATTATTGCGCCCCCCCCTCCCAAAATAACTAAAGTCTATTTTTATACTTTTTGCATTGTGTACAGTCTGGAAGCTACCCACATGCCAAATTTCAAGTTTGTTGCATGTTGGGAAGTATGCTAAATATTTCGAACAGACACACATAATCACAAATTTCCCTTTTATATATATAGACTAGCTTTACTACCCGGCTTCGCCCAGGACTTGGATTCACCACGCCCGGCCGCCTTTGTCTCCCCAGTGGTGATGTTTATACACCACACCAGTTACTCGTTTGAGCCTGAGTCGACCTATGGAAGGCCCAGGACCGGTTCAAATAATCGTCACCGGTGGTGGCCGTGAGCGGGAATCGAACTCGGGTCGCCGGGTTCGTAGTGCAGTGCGCTAACCACTCCACTACAATGCGCTACGCTTCCACATGCGTGGGTCACATGACAGATTTCACGTCACAGCTCACTTGCCGTGCAAAAAATATATGCATTACTTAGCTCCCCCCCCACCAAAAAAATAACAAAAATGTATTTTAATAATTTTTGCATGGTGTACAGTCTGGAAAGTACCCACATGGCAAATCTCAAGTTTGTTGCATGTCGGGAAGTACATTAAACATTTTGAACAGACACACATAATCACAACTTTGTCTTTTATATATATGGAGATTATGATTGTCAACAACTACGCCTTTTGGCGTCCTCTGGTCTAACACCGTTTTGAGACGAGGCTCAAAAGAAAGCTGTCTCTGGTGTGGACCAATCAGTTTCAAAGACAAAGTACGTTTTTTTTTGCATTCAGATCACAAGTATTGTGGTTAATGCAGACATGATTCCTTGTAAAAGGTTTCAGTTTGGTGTTTTAACATTTTAACACCTGTTTTGTTGTCAGAAAAAAGGGGAAAACCTATTCTCAACTACAATAAAAACAACCACCAGCACAAACAATAACTATTACAAAACAACTACCGGCAGAAAGACAACAGCTGGCACAGCCAGAAACAATCGGAGACCCAACCACGGGCGGTAAAAATGAACAACAAGGAGCTGCAGGGACGGCCATGGCAGCCATGGCAGCATCATTGAGTCCCAGGGCACCTTCAAGGAGCTGGGGAAACATTACCAAAAACAACAACAAGGCAGTTGCCAGCGGCTTGCAATGAGGATACTGTTGGACTTGAGGTCTCGATGGATGATGTTCTTGGCATGCAGGTAGCTGTCATCGAGAGGGGATAAAATATGAAAGGTCAAAAGTCAGCAGCATCCCGCAGCTTTGACGGACACTACAATGTGAAACGTGGAAAAATACTGCTGCTGCCATCAAATAGTATTGCTGCAGGGGCCCAGGGGGCACAGCAATGGGTCTGTTAATAGGTACGACATGACAGGGCATGAGCCAGAAGGGATGGATAGGGGTGGGGTTAGGGTTGCTTACGCAACCGAGTGGGGCTCCAGTAATATTTTTCAGAGGAGCAGTGTTTTGTGCTGAAGCGGCCACATCCCTATTAAGGCATGTAAAATTATTCTTCAACTCGCATCGATTACAACTGAGCCTTCTGCTCGCTGTCCCTAACCTCGTCCCAAACACATGACACTACTAATAACTAGCATGCAACGATGATAAATTCATCACTAACCGCAAATTGTTACATTAAATTCGAACAAAACCATCTAGTGCTCAATTCATAATGCTCTTGAAACATAACTATGAACTCTAAACCCTTAACAAATCACTTCAGCATGTCACCCTAAACAAAGCTCCAATGACCTACAACTTAATCCCTTACCAGACAGTCCCTGGCATTATTTACCACAAACGGCCCAATCTACATGTTGCTGTCAAATGTCGCTTTTCGTCCAAACTTAAGCATAAAAAATATAATTCACCAATGTCTCTATCAATGACAAGGGAATAGCCAAGGCCAATAAAATTAAATTGTCAACGACAGTCGACAGGCAATATGTTTTCACTAGAGGGCGCTCACAGCAGCGTGAGGTGGCGCAATGAACAATAAAGACGAAGGCGGCCAAGTCTAAAAAAAGGTCGAACGTGGCAAAGCAGAGGAGGGGCAGGCAGATTGGGGGGGGGGGAAGAGCACAATCGCCATTCAAACGCAAGCCCTACCCCTAACAAACCCACCAACCAGGCACTTGCCAACCAGACACTAGAATTAGCAAGGAACTATTACTACTAAGCCTACATGTAACCAACTCGTACCAGCCCTCTCACTGACCCTCACTCTACACACACAACTAACCAACTAGGCACTCCTACTCCTCCTAACCCTGTGTTGGCGAGCGTGTGTGCATACATGTACATGAGCGTGTGCTCGTGTGTGTACGTGCGAGTGACAGTGTACACACGTGTGCGTGCACGCGTGTGCATGCGCCAATGCACACGTTTACACGTGTTGCCGTGTGTACATTTGGCGTTATCGTGTGCGTGCACGCACGTACACCTATGTATATCTTCGTTCCTTTGTTTTATTTCGTTCGATTGTTTGCCTGCTGGCATGTTCATTGACACATACATGTGTGTGTGCGTGTGTGCGCCCGTGTATTTGTGCATGCGTGCTCACTCCATGCCCTGCGCCGTCTGCTTGCCGATGTCGATGAGCTGGTACATCTCGAACTTGGTGTCGGCCACGTGCAGGTGGCGGTAGAGGCTGGAGCCCTCGCACCACTGCGTGATGATGGCAAGACGCGGCTGCGTCATGTAGCCCATGAACAGCAGGATGTTCACGTGCCGCGTCTTCCTGCGGGGCCAGCAAACACACCCACGAGGAGAGGAGGGGAGTGAGATAGAGGTGAGTGTAGGGCATGGCGAGTGCAGGGGAAGAGCGAGGGAGAGAAAAAGGAAGAGTGAGGAAAAAGTGTAGGTGAGTTGATGAGAGTGAGAGACAGTGGAGAGGAGCGGGGTAGGGGGGGAGTGTGAGGGATGGTGAAAAAGTGAGGGGGCAGTGGAAATTAGAGAGGATGAAGAAGAGTGAGGGAGAATGAGGGAGCATTGTAGACGTGGGGGAAGCGCAGCAAAGCACAAGGAGGCATCGTTAAGCATGAGAAATTAAGACGGAGCATGTGGGGAAGCTCAGGATAACAATCGGAAGCATGAGGACAATGGATCAATGCCCGACTCCGTCTGCTCATGCCGACTTGATGACTTGAGGAGATTGAGTGCACCAGACGTGTGAAGGGAATGGTAAGGGCAGAGGAGGGCAGCAGATGGCAGGGCAGGGCAGTAATGGCACTCACCTCAGCACAGCCACCTCGTTCTTGAAGGCCTCGAGCTGCTGCGGCGTGGGCCCCGTCACCTTCAGAATCTTCACGGCCACGTCGCCTGCGCCATCGCACACAACATCGATGGTGACGACATCAACGTGTGACACCGCCGCGCTCCAGTAGCGGCGGCGCATTAAAAACTACCGCGGTGTCGCCGTAAAACCATATGTTGCACAGCTCTCTATTTTTTCCCCAATTTTATGTATGTTGAACTTCTTTCGCACCGTACGTAGCCAACTGTGCTAATCGGAGATGTGGGGGAAGGACAAAAAAGAAAAAAACAAAAAGCAGTTCTAAATAAATAGTTTTCAACCTAGATTTATCGAAATTTTACTACTGGTATCCTCTCATGACATGAGGAATCCATTGAGAAATCTTGGCAAGCAGTGCAGCTATACTGTTGGAGAACGGTCTGCTGAAGCAGATATCAGAGCCACCTCTGTGATCCTATTAAGTGACCTCTGAGTTACGCAATAGGGGACAGCACTTTCCCATCAACTTTGCGATACGTTGTCTATGTGAAACGGTGAAGAATGCTTTAGCATCGACAGGCTTTACGTGGAAAGAGCTAAGTGATGGGTCAAGACTGTGGACAAGAGGAAGCAATTGGGTTGCTTGATGTGTCAGTGACACGAGGCATATTAATTAAAGAAAACAGCTTATTTGGTTGCATCTTCCTTTTAAAAAATCTCTTTGTGTAACCTTGGGCTAAGAATGCTGTGTGATGAAGAGAGAGTTCCCCTTTGGCCAAATTTCCACAGGGCGGCGACTGGCAAGGATGATGAAGTCACGGGCTGTAGCAGCATTGGCAGCTGGAACGTACCATGCCACTTGCCCTTGTAGACGGTTCCAAACGAACCGGAGCCAATCCGTTTCACCAGCGTCACCTCCTCCTCCTTCACCTCCCAGTAGTAGCTCGAGTCTCGGTTGCCACCAATACCCTCGCCTTTCTAGAGGCCGGGGAAAGTTACGTTGTTATGAGAGCGATCGACGGAGAAGTGTGATGTGATCACATTGAACGAGAAAGTGAGTGAATGACTGGATGAATGAACAAGCAAGTGTGTGAACAAGCGAGTGAGAAACCGATTGAGTAAGCAAAAAAAACGAGTGACTGAGTAGGTAAGCAAGTGTATTCATGAGTATGTAAGAGTGTGTTCGTGAATGAGAGAGGAAATAAGCAGGCAAGCAACCAATTGGGCAAGCAAGTGAAAATAAAATGAATGCATGGGAGGTGAGCAAGTGAGCATGTACAGGAGCGGTGAACGAGTGAAAAAATGAGCAAGACAAGGGAGATACCAAATAAGTGAGCAAGTCGGCAACAGGGCTAGCATGCGAATAAGCCCACGGACGAGCAAGTGCAACAGCAGGTGAGCAGGCAAGGGAGAGTGAACAAACGGACGAGAGAGGGCAGGGCGAGCGAGCGCGTTGTCATCCTCACCGTCAGACGCTTATCGTCGGACGACGGGAGCTTCTTTTCCCGCGTGACGGGCGACCTTTGCCCTTTTGACCGCCCCACGACGCCCGACTGGCTGGCGGGAGGGCTGGCGCCCGTGTGGCTCCCTGCACCGGTGAGACGTTTTCATGTCACAATGTGTTTTGTATTTATAACAGCATTGCAGCCGCGGCGAGTTATTTATTAACTAGACCGCAAATGGGTCATTCAAGTCGACTTGTCCGATTTTGTAAAAGAATGCGATTTACGATGAAGATGCCATTAATCTACCGGCCACTATTAGCCACATGATAAAGGCCCCTCATCACAACTAATACAAAACACTCGTCCTCATCCGATACAGAACCCTAACCTCATCACATACAGCCCCAATAGTAATATCTGATGTAGAACCCTCACGCTCATCGAATACAGAGCCCTCATGCTCATACCGATATAGAAACCTAATTTCAAATTATATAGAATCAATAGTCTCATCAATTATAACCCTCATCTCTCATCCAAGAGAAAATCTTTGTCTCTGCCAATAAGTGCTACAGGACCCTTGCCTCATTAACGAACCCTCGTCATCAAATATTAAGCCCTCAACTCAACTATTCCAGAACCATTATCACATCTGACAGCGAGCCTGCATCTCATCCAAAACAGAGGCCTCATGTCATTTAAAATATAACCGTCGCCTCATTTGATACAAACAGTCAAGTTTTATTTCTTCACATAAACCAGTGCACGTCTGGCAAAGACCACCTCTGATAACGAGCCCTCCTCTTATCCAATAGAGAACCACTCATCTGACACCAAATCGTCTCATTCACCATAAAACCTCATCTCGTTAAGATGCTTCAGTTTGGCGCCCAGTGCCATCAGCCAATTTCACGTGGCGACATTTAATAAAGAATAACCTATAAAGCAAAAGAAAACATTTTGCTAAATAAACACCTTCAAAATTCATCAAAACCACACTTAAAAATTGTCGGACAATTCACGACCAACGGCGGAACTTGCATACACAAGGAGTCGTCGCTACAGCTCCATCACTATTGAAAATAATTTGTTTTACTTCTGAAATACATTGGCAAGTTGGCCGTTGTTTAGGCAGTTTTACCTCCTGATTGGTGGGAGGATGAACTTTTCAAGAGACTCTGAAATAGGAATTGAAAAGAACAACAATTAATTATTTAACAAATTTCAACCACAGGCAATTTACAAATTGCCTATGGTTAACTGTAGACATACAGACGCGCATGCACAAGTGTGATACAGAATAGTGCGCGCTCAACTCAGAGACACAAACATTCCCCTGTATAGCCATATACATTATTAAGGCGGGTGCTGTTAACAAGCACCCATTAATGCTGACATTGCATGGCAGTATCAAGCACAGCCTGATATGGGCATCTTTGCCTTGTGCAGGTGTGAGTGATTATTTCTATAATTTGTGGTAAAAAATGCATATTGAGGCCATGTGAAGTATGTAAATATGGCTGTCGCCTGATGAAGCTAGTTATAATTACCGGGAAAACATCGTCCTCAGATTGAAAATGTTGTGGCTTTGTTCTCCAACACACCGGTGTGCTGTACTATTAACGAATCGGCACGTTCTGTTTACGTGACAAACCTTACTAATTGGCTGTGTCCGGTGGTGGCGGGTTTAACGACACATTGAAATATTTACGCGATCTAACGCACAAATAAAACCTGTATGATGATGATATTGGTTGCACCGTACGTAACCAACCATGTCTATGCCTTGCTGTCAGGAAGTGAGTCACAGGGCAGAACCAGGTCTACAGGTATTTCGACTGAGATGGCGGCTGGCCTCAACATTTTTCATTTCGTCTGTTATTCATTAAGAATTTTTTCGTGCGAAAAGAGGCGAATGGGTCTGTGGTTCTTTAGGTTAGTTTTATCTACATTTATTAACATCAAAATTATTTCACACCTCCGATTAGCACGGTTGGTAATGTACCGTGCTTTCAAAATACATGCATACAGACCAGGCAGAATTCAGACTGTGGTATTTTATTTGTGTTGAAATCTCGTAAACAAGTCAGCGAATTATATTCCAACAACTGGTTCCGCTTACCCTGTTTCATACTGCAATGCCTTGGGGAGGGCCTTCATTGATCACGTTTAATGATGATACGACTAGCACAACAAGACAAAGACCCCCCCTATTGCCTTAATCAGGGCAAGTGCTGTTAGGGAGCACCGATGAAGGTTAACACGGCACACGAAGGGGCGGGTGGCCAGCACCACACCCAGCTGCATGTCTACCTGTGGTTATTTTCACAAAATTCGCCAGGTTCTCGTTTATGTTCAAGTCGACCTAGGGGAGGCCCAGGACCAGTTAAGATACTCGTCACCGATGTTAAAAGTGAGTGTGAATCTAACTCGTGTCACCAGTTTTGTAGTGCAGTCCGCTGAACCACTGGACGACCGCTCTCCACGACTGGCAAGCAAGAACAACAACTGCCATTCGCCACTAAGTGGCGGTGATGTCACCATGGCACTTGTGAAGTGTCGAATGCCTGCTAGCAGGTCGTTATGGGTCGACTGAGATGCAGCACCTGTGCCCCCTACGACTGGCAAGCACGCACACACACACATGCGCACGTGACCTCACCTCTATGAGTGAGGCATCCACAGGCGTCGTGGTGCTCGGGATGTGCACATTGGGTGTGGATGTGGAGCGCTCGCGAGAGCCCAGCGACCCCCCGACCTCCACGAGCAGCGGAGGGAACGGGAACGCGTGCGAGCTCGGTCGCATGTCGGGCGACCTGACGGGGACGACAGGCCGAGGTCATCCTCACCATCGTGGCATAATTCGTAAGAGCAGGCCCATTGTCTGCCTGCCGGTGTAATGGTACAAATGTGAAAATAACCCGCAAATTACTAATTTAGGAAACGCAAAGCAACCGTCGTCGCCTCCTACAAAAAAAAAAACAGAACAAGACCCTCCTGGAAAAAAGCCTTGATGCTCGGTGAGGAATTAATAAACAAGAGAAATATAAAATAATGAGCATCACAGTCGAGCCACTGGTTGGGCATCCTGGCTTCACAAGCGCTTGTGGCGACATTAGATAATGGCCATAAACCGCATCAGCAAATTAAATGAATGCTGCGGATAGCTTGTGCACACATGGATAGTCAAAGATACTCCACGACAAGCAATGGGAACGTATGCGTGAACAACTGTTCCACTGTTGCTCATTGCCCAGGAACTTCTCTAATATTCACTCCATGTTTCCCAAGCTCTTGAGGAGTCAGGCATGAAGACCCGCTCTCACCAAGGCTATTGACGGTGATATTATATATTTTTATTATAGCTGCTTAAACACTGAACAATCTACCAGATGCATGAAAAGGTTGCAGAATCTCAAATTATTCATATCATTACTTAAACACACTTGCACAATATTTGCAACTGTTACAGCTAGAGTAAATTCAAAATTGAGCGATGTGCACCGTTATTTATTGTGTTTGACTATGGTGCGGTGTTCATGTGCACTGTCCTTAGCGTCTTGTGCCTGTTCTTGATGCTGTATGAAAACATCTGGCATTGCAGAAATGTAGACAGTACAGGATTTGAAATACTTGTACTTGTAACATTACACGTTTGCCATGTGTACGTGTGTGTTACTTGGCAGCATGGACACCCTTGCAAATAAGATGTTTCATCTCAAGCAATTTGGCAGGTAAAATATTGTTATAATAAAACAATGTAAAGTGGTGTTGGGCAGGCGTGGTGTGGAGCAGCGAGCGATGTCCCTGATGCTGATGGTGAGCGGCGTTACCCATGGCTCGATGCCGGCATGGCAGACATTGGCGGGCGGCTTAAGTAGCCCGGTGAGATGGGGCTCGGGTGGTCACACCACGTCAGGTCCCGCATGTCCGGCTGGATTCGGTTTCTACACGAGTGAATCGGGACGAATTGGGTGAGAGTTAGAGAGCACATTTTTACATTTAATTAACTAAACACATGACATGTGCTGTCGTGGTGGAGTCCAGTGTTATGAAATTATAAAGTAAAACACAACATTCTGTTTCAATAGACAACGGGTTCTTCGACCGGATTATTATTTGTTTAGTTTATTAGTGAATAACCACCATCCAGTAGTGTACAAAGTTCTATGGGATAATTAATTTAGTTAACGTATTCTGTCTCATTCAGCAGTGGAGGCACAAAGGCTTGTAAATTGTTAAAAATGTTTCCACAATCCACCACGGAAGCGCATAATACATTTTGTGAAATGTTGCTGTGCTGCGCTGCGCTTATTGGACCTCATTGTGTTTGCAGAAGCTCTGAGCCTATACCAGCTGGAAACCCAGCGGCATCTGCTCAACAGTCCACATTTCCTGAACATTGGCCGAGCCCCCCACTTCTGAAAAAATAGCCCCCCTCCCCTTGTAGATTCGTACAGTCAAAACATGGACAAGAATGTAAACATGAGTAAAATTAAGCAATGGGCGTGGCTGTAGCCTTCTATAACATATATTGGTATTGACAGCTAGAGCAGAAGGCATGTTGGACAACAGCGGAAAGTATTGTTCATCATTCCGTCAAGCAGTTTAACATTCACACTACGTTTGTTTAACCCTGACCGTCTCACGCCGGCACTCTCGAGTTTTTCGTACAACTCCCCCGGTTCAACAAGGTCACGCTACAGGGGCCGGCGCCGCACGCACTTGAGCTGGTGGAGGTTGATGCAGACCATGGGCACCTCCGTGCTGCAGCGCTCGTGGAACTTGTACCCGCACGTTTGGCAGCGGAAGCCATTGAAGAGGAAGCGCAGGCAGAAATCGCAGTAAACCAGGGACAGGAACGTCTTGCGCACCTGTCGAGGGATTCGCGAAGAACGTGCAGGGGACAAGGGCGGGATCCGGCGGTCAGGCACCATTCGGTAAACGTGTAACGATTCACCACCCCGCCCCCTCCTCCCAGGGTGGGTGCTGCTTTTCAATTACTCATCAAGATACATGAGATGCAATTTGACTCAAAATTGCCTCGCGTTTATCTTTTTGGTATATGACATAATTGGTCAATTGTTCGATTATCCCGAATGTAACATCAGCGCAAAATATACACACAAAAGTTTAAAAGTGCAGCCTTGCAATTGCTTGCTCGTGTCACTGCTGGTGGAAGGGTCTCTACGAGATGGATCTCAACAGTCATCTAGAAGGTTTACTGCCCGACTCTTTCATGCTGGGTAAACTTCTTGGAAGAGGTGTGAGTACCTAAACTTTACCATGTATGTATATACAACTTATTTTGCACCGTACGTAGCCAACCGTGATAATCACCAGAGTCGATTGACAAGTTGCCAATGTTAACCCATTTATCCTGCTGGGTGGAAAGTGGTGGGAGCTCTTCGAAACTTTCCCATTGTTTCAAGTGCCGCCAGGAGATCGAACCGGCAACCTCTGCATTGCAATTCCACTGTGCTAACCATTACACTCGAAAACAATTCATCACACACAATTCAATCCTTGCATCATTATATGTACATGGTATTCAAACTTGACTTTAATTAGCAAATGAGAACAAACCGGGATGAATGAAAGACGAAGACAACACAAATGAGACAGTACATTGGGGCAAAAACATTTTTTTCCAAAACATCGAATGGTAAAACCTGAATCCTGGCAATTCTTCGACTCATGGGGAAGGGAGAATAATTACAAGCCTGGTCATCTATCACTCAGTTCTGCCTCAGAACCAAACAAGCAGATTTAGTCAGTCCATCAGCCACGCGCAGAGACGATTACGTCAATAACAGATTGGGGAGGGGGGGGTGCAAGAACGAGCGATGGTCTCAACACCCAAGACTGCAGTCCTCTTCCCGGATCGAGCGGAGCCCTTCAGCCGAAAACCACGCTGCCACTGTGCCAACTTCTCTCACTGCGCTGCCACAAAACAGGAACCGGGAAGTGTTGCAACTATTTGGTCAGGAACGGGAAGCAAGTGCCGGGAGAGATGGGGGGGGGGGCTGTACACTCGCTGCGTTGCGCCGCGTCGTGCCGTGTGCGATGCCGTGAGCGACTCACAAAGTTGTGTGTGGTGAGAAGCACGTTGTCCAAAATTTCCACCGAGAGCTCGTCCCCGATGAACCACGACACGTCCATGTTCCAATCGATCATCTCCTTCCCACTGCGGGCACAACAGTGATTAAAAGCAAGAAAAGACACACACGTACATACACAAAGTAAAAAAAATTTCCCGTGTATAGCCTAAACAGACTGCTGGGGCAAGTGCTGTTAGCGAGCACCTACTAAGGTCGGCACGGGATACGAGGATGGCCAGCCCCCACACCCGTCCGCCCTCGTCTCCCGAGTGGCGATATTTTCACATCGCACCAGGTACAGACACACACGTGATGAAAACTTGAGGTCATCAGGAGGCGATGACATTGATGTCAATATACCGCACCATAGCTTCCTTTCTTCTTCTAGATACCGTAGTTGTTGTCAAGTTGACAAATTTTATCGCAGTCTGTGTCACAGCACTTTGCAGTGCTGTACAAAACACCCATCTCCTTAGTCTTTACAAACTGTGTTCATTTTACACCGATTGAGAGCCACAGGTAGGATTGAGAAGTCATCCCGGAAAGAACTTAATGAAGATCACAATGGGTAAGACCCCAGTAACTTCTTTTTTCTCACACCACTGCATAGGGACCCCACGGTGGCGAGATGTTAACTACTCGCCTGGTATACAGGAGGTCGGAAGTTCGATCCCAACTCCGACGCCTGTATATCTGGAGTTTGCATGTTCGCTCTCCCTGTGGTCGTGTGGATTTTTCTCCGGGTCCTCTGGTTTTTCTCTCCACATTTACAAGCATGCGTTTCGAATGTTTAGCTGCTGCAAATTTCTACATGATGAGCCACTTCGTTGAGCTATCATTTGTGGCCAGGTCGCTTCTAAACAAGAGCTACATAGCTCAGTGGGCCTGACCAGGTAAATAAAAAGTTTAGTTTTAGGATTTTATCATCGTGCTGTGTAGCTCTCCGATGTGCTTCTGGGTTGGACTCACGTGTTGTGCGGCACAGTGTCTGACATTTTGGCCCTACGTGCCGGAAGGTTCTTCAGGAAATTAATCGAAGCGTTGACCGGTGAGTGAGCGGTGGAGCGGGTAGAGGGGTGAGCGAATGGACCGGAGAGAGCGGCGAGCGCGGCGCCCTTCCGTACCGTTCATTCACCCTGTAGACGCCGCAACAGTGCGTGGTGAGGCCACGAATCGTGAGCGCCTTCATGAGGCTGTCCTTCACGGTCACCCCGCTACGAGCAGGAACCTACGAGCAATGCACAAAGCACAAACGCTGAGCATCAAAAAGACCGATTTTGATTACAATTAATAATTGATTTAATGGTAAGGATACGTAATGGATTTGGCCAAATTTATGTCATGAGACTCTCCACCACCCGATAGTCTGACTTCCTGGGGTCTGTCCTGAAGATGCCTGATGCAGTTTCAAGCAAAACATCCAATTCACATGCTAACTTTGGTTGTGAGGATTGTTCTTAGACTTACCGGTGAGCTGAAACAATAATGCCTGGCGCCTTAAAAGCTTGTGCATGCACAAATGTAATTAGTTTGGCTATGTGGCATGATCATTAAGTGGCCTCATCTAAAAATATATTATGAATCACATTACTGGCTGTGAAAACCTACGTTTAATGCGAACTTGAACATGTAAATCAACATATCAACATGCCTAATGAGGAGTTTTTGATCAGCAATAGTACCTGCTATCACTGGCGGAGCCAGTGGGGGAGGTGGGGGTCGCACGTGCCCCCCCAATGATCCGATCGAAATCCCTAATTTCGATCGGATCATTGGGGTTTATTAGTAATAAATCAACATTTTGCGACCCCCACAGCCACTGTGTAGCATATTATTACGTGCCAGGGACTCTATGAGATGATAGTACAATAGTCTGAGTCCATAATTGGCAATAAGTAACGGCAAAGCAGTTATAAGTGACTCACAGGATTGTGCGCAGTTGCGTATACAGGACACGACTTCCCTGACGGCATTCACCTTCAGCGAGCGCGATGCCGATCACACAATGCGGTTGGAAATCGACCCTCGATCGATGGCTGCACCATCGCCGCACACGCGTCGAATAGAAAGGCAGGGACAAGTCCTTACTTACTAACAACTCCTATAATTTTTAATTGCTGGAGGGGTTGCCCCCCTCCACCTGAAAATCCTGGCTCTGCCATTGCCTGCTATGAAGTATAGATCAGAAAAATGGACACTCACAAGAAGATTTCCATTCTACGTGGTGACTTTACCGAAAGAACCAAGAAGATGAATCCCTGCAGTCACGAAAGCTTTAAATCGAAATTTAAGATGCACAAAGTAAGCATGGAGATGTGCATGCTGGGAATTAGACTGGGAGAGAATGAAAAAAATAAGAATCAGTGGACGTAAAATAGAGACATCAATTTGGGTGTTAAGAAAAGTAAGTGGTCCTGGGCAAGATGCGTCGCTAAGGGATGATGGTCGATGGATACGACTAATGACAGTGGTAAGCGATGCCGGAGAGTACGCCCACCGTGGAAGAGAGCAATGTAATCAGCTCATGTGCGGATGCTCGGTGATTTGTCAGATCGCGAGGATCTTGATAAATGGCGATGGCTTGGAGAGGCCTTAATCCAACGGTGGACAGATTATGGCTGATGATGATGCAAAGTGTGCTTATATACAACTGCTAATGTGTTTTTCAGCATATGAAGTGCAGCGTAGAATAAAGATCGCTACAGACAGACATGAGCTGGCGCCCACGGTGGTGCCGTACTCACCACGGTGCGCTGCTTGTTGGGCAGGGAGACGCGCACGAGTGTGGTGCCGGAGCGGGTCGGCTCGGCGTGAGCCCCATCCTGGGCGCCGTTCATTCTCCCTGACAGCGCTGCGTGCGCCGTCGATGGCGGTGGAGGAGGTGGTGGTGGTGGTGTGGGAGGAGCCAGCATCACAGTCCCGCCCCCTCCACCTGCCAGTAACAACATCAAACGAGCAAACAGATGAAGTGAAAGAATCAACGGCAGCACGGCGGTAACGTTTTGCTTTAATGAAGAGAAGAAATCTCTTTGAATGTCTACCCAATTGTGCATGTGTGTGCTCCTATGTGTCAGTGTGTGCCTGTGTGAGTGATAGTCCAGTTTACCATGAGTGTAATAATTGGGCAATTCATCAATTGAAACAAATTCTGAACCTCACGTGAGAACAGATTATTCACAATGTATGCCAATTACACGTGAACGATATCCCAATGTGACAAATGAGGTAGAGGAAATGCAAACAAGGGGGGGTAAATATATACAATAAAGAAACAATTCCGCAACAGAATAATAAAATCTCAATTCATAAAAAGCGTACCGTGTAGCCATGCTTTCAATGCACATGTCTTTGCATTTCAAACATGTATGTGTATACTTGCATACAAAGGTTTGTACCTGTGTACATGTGCATATGCCTATGTGCCCAAGAATGCATGTGAATGCTTGCTTGTGTCTTTGTCTTTCATGTCTATACCCGTGTGTACCTGTAAACAATTGCGTGTACATGCCCGTGTACCCTGACATGCATGCGTGTACCTGCTTGCGCACTAGTGTGATTGTGTGCGTGTCTACGCATGCTCACTCACGTTCAATCGATTATTCGTAAATTCACTTTCGCGGTAAGTATTCGTGACACGCATCACTTGCATCACATCAGAATTCCACTTTCGAATCCAAGCCCAAACTTGTAATAATGAAACGTGTCTACGTGCATAATACAATCGTGCATGCACGCATTAGTGATGCTGATACTTAACTTTCCTAACTTGCTTATACATGCAACAGCAAGATGTCTGACACAATATAACTGGATAAACGACTCCGTTATTTTCCTGTCATTTTCTAATTGAGCATTATTTACTTTTTTTTTTTAAACCACCAAACAGAGGGTCACCACATCGTGTGCTTTCAGATGCACTTCTGTGGTCGTGTGGAACACTTTTCCTTCCAATATTAAAAAGCCATTGGAGCCATGCACTTTTAAACGTAGTTTGAAAGTTAATTTCTTTAGAACAGCTTTTTGTGTTTAGTTTGTTGTCCTTTCCCGCACCTCTGATTAGCACGGTTGGCTACGTGCGGTGCGAAAGAAGTTCAACATACATATTTCTCATTCATTATCCTCTACTACACCCACAATATGGAGATCCCTTCCTCCAGCCATCCATGCTGTTGACTCCCTGTCTCTGTTCAAGTCCAATCTTAAGAACATCCTCTGTTTCATCTGCTTATGACTGTGTTTCTAGAAAATAAATATGCCAATTGTTTACGTATATCATTTGGTATGTAGTCACATTTATACATTACGTAAATATATGTTACGTCATATACTCAAACAGAGACCCATATACTCACATACCATACATTTACTTAGGGATCCATACTCTTTGGTTCTCTTCGGTAAAGTCACGTAGGTAAAAAATAAAACAACAAAAAAATCACGACGTTTCGGCCACAACACAAGTGGCCTTCATCAGGTGAAGGGACCCAACTGTCCAGAGGACAGCGTTGGAGTGAAGAAAGCCAAGCGCAGGTCGCCTCCTTTAAGCTGTGAGGGGGTAAAACAGAAAACGCCTTGACAAAGGAATCATAAAATGTGCCACTGTGAAAGCTTGGACATTACACCACCGTGAGAGTTTGGAATGCCACTACTTGAATAAATATACTGTATCATTGAAAATTAGTTTAATGTTTGGTTCGATTTAAAACATCTTTCCAATGGTTGCTTAACTTGAAACCATCTTCTCGGTTGAAATTGTGTGTGTTTGTAAATCTGAATTGCCTCGTGAACAAATCTCTGATAAAAACCCGTGGGTTTGCAGAGGACCTTGGTATCGGAGAAAACTATATTGTGATCACCCACAGCGTTGTAACAGTGATCAGCTACGGCAGAAGAATTCGTTCTGCCATGTTTCAAATCTGATTTGTGCTCGCGAATTCGGTCAGAGACATGTCGTTTCGTCTCCCCGATATAGCAGTCACCACAGGTGCAGATCAATTTGTAAACCCCGGGGTACTGTAAGTCAGAATGAAAGATGTTCTAAATCGAACCAAACATTAAACTACTTTTCAATGGTACAGTATATTTATTCAAGTAGTGGCATTCCGAACTCTCACGGTGGTATAATGTCCAAGCTTTGACAGTGGCACATTTTATGCTAATTCCTTTGTCAAGGCGTTTTCTGTTTACCCCCTCACAGCTTAAAGGAGGCGCCCTGCGCTTGGCTTTCTTCACTCCAACGCAGTCCTCTGGACAGTTGGGTCCCTTCACCTGATGAAGGCCGCTTGTGTTGTGGCCGAAACCTCGTGATTTTTTGTTGTTTTATTTTTTACCTACGTGACTTTACCGAATAGAACCAAAGAGTATGGATCCTTGCAGTCACGAAAGCTTCAAATCTAGAATTTACTTAGGGACCCATAGTTTCACAGAGATCCCTAGAATCACATTTACCCAGACACACAGAGACCCACAGATTAATATGTAAACCCATCTACTTGTGTAGAGACACAAAATCACAAAGACAGCTGTGGACTCGCATATAGACCTTTTACTGCCACGATCTTTATCATAAATATGCCCACGATTTCTGTACACTGTCTTGAGATGCGGTCATATTGAGATGCTATATAATACATAATGTATTGTAATTGTGTAAAACACATGGATAGATTTGTTTTAATCCATAGGCCGAGCAGGCAAAATGCCTTTCCTTGTCTAGATTTTCTGTCAAGCTGCCCAGGCAGGGCTGCCCAGGCGAGAAGCGAGGGAAGGTGGTCGGGCCTCCCTGGCCTCAACTTTACACACAGACTGTTTAACGGCTCGGTAGTAAGTAAATGTGTTGCAAAACAGAGGCAACAAGGTTGCATTGTTAATCACGAAGCACTGCGCAACATTTGAAAAATGCAAATAGTTGCATGCAGGAGAGCTACCCCTAGTCAGGTCCAGGCATTTTTTTTTCCTCTGCTTATGACTGTTTCTTTCTCTCTGCAACATAAATGTGACCACTGTTTCTGTGCAGCACGTTGAGAAGCGGTTGCATTTCGAGGCTATGTTAATTCACATCGATTTGAATTGTACCGTTGAACTTCAGCTTGTGTGCGTGCCTGTAACTTGTCCATGTGCACCTATGTGCTATATGTGTACTCCAGCGTGTGTCCACGTGCATGCGTGTGCGTACCAATGAATGTATGTATGTGCATGTTAAACGGCAGGAGTGCAATGCTGAGCTATGAACCTGGTGACCCGAGTTAAATCCTCGCTCCCAATCGGTTACGAATATCTGAACCAGTCCTGGGCGTCCCCTGGGTCGACTCAGCTTCAAATGCATACTTTGTGTAATTTGTAAACATCGCCAGAGGGAGACAAAGGCACCCGGGTGTGGTGCTGACATCGCACCCCTTGTGTGCCATGCATAGGTGCGACAAGTCTGTTAAGGCTATACAGGGGGTCATTGTCTTTGTTAAAGACTAAACACACGCGCGCATGTAATATTTGTGAGTGCCTTCTGACTAAACCCATAACAATTTATCCCTTCCTGGAGATTCTAAGAATTCTCAGATTTCAGAGTCAAGATTCAATTCATGAATAAAAATTAGGTTCTGTCGAATATGTATTATATTTTTTTCTCTTTAGTTTGTACAGTTTTGTTTACTAATTAAGCGAAAATGTAATATTAGCATAGTTGGAATATAATTTTTCTAAATATCTAAATTATCAAGTGCACAATTCAATGAACATACAGTGAGTGTAAATACTGCATTGTGATAAAAATTACACATTTACATGGTTACTGCGCACCCATGTGAGCATGTGTGTATGTATGAGGATGGAGCGGTGGGTGGTTTAGTGGTTTGCACACTGCACTATGAACCCAATAACCTAAGTCAATGCCCACCCCTAAGTCAACTTAGCCTAAAATAAAATGACTCTGTGTGTAAACATCAGCACTGCAGCAGAGTACTGACCACACAACTCTGCAGAGCACTAGCCGTAATAGGTAATCACGAAAAGCAAATGCCCCCTACAGTCGATACATCTACACGGGGATCTTTGTGTTCATGTACATGTGTATACACGTATTTGCCTGCGTGTGCGTGCCTGTGCATCTATCCAACTGCGAGTGGTCCACATTTTCACGCGTTGCACATGCACTCTCTCGCGTGTAAACGCAGGTGCGTACGTGTGCTCGTGCGTTACTTTTCTGTGCGTGCGTACCTCCGCCTCCTCCGGACCCAGGAACGCCGAGCGCACCGAGCCTGGCAGGACTGCTGTGGTTGCGCAGTGAGTGGAGGAAACTGTGTTCCCGTGGCATTTAATCCTGGCGCGCCGACTTCATCTGGCTGCTCACCGCATGTGCGCGCAAACACAAACATGCGGAAGACAAGACAAAAACGGACAACTCAATGTTAAACCCCGATTGAATCGTCGCGTGCCAAAAACCACGATCCTCGCGATCAAACCAGCCTTCTCGAACCCAGACGTCCATCTCATGGGATTTATACTGTGGTTGCAACAGACAGGGCAACCAAGCGGGCAAGTGCGCGAGCTTTCATGCTTACCCTGGTTGGTGGGTTGACACCGGATTTGCCAATTGAGCATGCCAAGCTGTGGCAATCACAATTGACCAAAACTAAAAAGCAGTTGAGCAGCGCGGCACGAAAAATGAAAAAGCGTCACCGCGTTTCAACATTCAGAACTGTGACAGCGAGAACACCAGTGCACGGGACAGCCGGCGTATGACGACTGTTGATAGGTTTACTATTACTATTGAATTATTAATCTTATTTTTTTACAGCTTCAGCAAAAAACTCCATGCCTCTTGGCACCACCACCCCCATTCCACCCTGCCCCCCCACCCCCTTACCAATACCACAGCCCCAACCGCGCACCCCCGCAAACTTAGCCACAAGCTCCCCTGGGAACCACTTGCCACGGAAAAAAAATACATATTTAGCGTCACCGCCATTAGGAAAATAACCACATCTCAAGTAATTCGGTCCTTAAGAGATGACCTGAGAAAACAGCGACTGTTATGCCATCTCAAACTACATAAATCTGCTACCCATGTACCAGCAGAAAGAGGCACATTTCTGTTTGCAAGCACAGAAATCGGAGCATCATGAATTGCATCTATCATAGAGGTTACACACACTACCGATATGATGGGGAAACAGGTCACGTGATCTGTGGGTACACTTTGAAATGTGGAAATCATTCACTCGGCATAGCTTTATGGATGCACCTTGTCAAACTGCCTCCACAGGACATCAAACTGGGGCGCAACATTTTTCATTTATTTTCAGGACAAGGCTTTGAAGTTTTGTTTTGTTGTCCCCTTTAAATAAAACATGAAAGCAAGAGACGGCTCACTTGGAGGGCATCAAAACAACGCGCGCTGTGATCAGAACTCAATGCGCGAGTGAAGAGAAGGGACCCGGGATTGGTAGGAGGCAAGAAGGTGTGAAGTGTATGGGTAGGTCAGGGTCTCTTATTTCAGGTGCAATGCATCAAATGGGACCAGGTACAAAGGCACAAAAACCAAGACAAAGGTAATGCAAGAAAAGCCACTGTTAACGCATTAACAGATTATAACTCACAAGGTGGTGAGAGGTAACAGTCATTATTTTTTTTGGGAGGGGGGGGGGTTTAATTCCATGATATATGCAAACTTCTTTATGCAATAGGTTTCCATTATGCCTAAATAAGAAATATTCCAATCAGTTCATTATAGCTGTTTAGACCTACGAATTAGAAATACAGCTAAACCTTGGATTGAGCATAATTTGTTCCGGAAACGTGTTTGTAATCCAAAGCACTCGTATATCAAAGCACTCGTATGTCAGTTGTGATCACATGACGCTCGGCAGTACAAAGCGTATGCGTACTACTCGTATTGCAAGACCCTCTCGCTCGTTTATCAAATTAATATTTATTTAAAAATTTTGCTTGTCTTGCAAAACACTCACAGACCAAGTTACTCGCAATCCAAGGTTTTACTGTATGGGCATTGACAAGGAAAATGGATGTGAAGCTGAAGGGTGTGCACACAAGCCTGGAGAGATGTAGGCTTGGTATTACACAGAGCAGCAGGAGGAGCACATTAATTATAGAACACATACACGATATAGAAATGATATTGACAGTTAATAAAAGTAAATGGGCTTGAGCAGCACACATCGCTAGAAAGGATGATGGCTGGCAGAATCAGAAGATGTATTTATATTGGAGGAATCCTATGAGCTATAAAGCTCTTTTACAAAGATGTCCAGTCGGGGCAGGTCAGAACTTTACAGCAATCAATACAAAATCACGATAGGAGTGCAAAGTATAGAAAAGGTAAGCAAATCACTTTTTAAAAATATGGTGGTCGATAAATGATGGGAGTGACAGTCAGGGGGGGTTCATACTCAAGAGGACGTGGATCATGGAGACTGAGAAATGAAATCAGCTCGTGGAAAAAGGGGCTGGAAGAAGTATTGCATTTCAGAACCATGAAAAAAAACTCGCACAGTAGTGGACTTGGAACTCTCTGCCGACGGCTGTCAGTGAGTCCAGTTTGGTTGGTTCCTTTAAGCCCCGCGTAAAAACATGTATCTTTAAGAAGGCATTTACTATCTTAAACGAGGCACTTCTTAGCTGTCCCACCTCAATTGTCGTTGATGTAAAGCGCCTTGAGATGTTATGATGAAAGGTGAAGTTGTATAAATTATTCTGAGTGGCTTGAAGTTATTTTGTTGAACCAGGTGACAACTCAAGAGACCAGGATAGTCTCATGTGAAAGTGTGACCTGAGGCATTAGTCTGCTAGTAGGGGGTGATGATAACCACGTATGATCCCAATTGAGCAGTGTGTGTAATTTTTGAAAATGGAAAATTTGGAACCAAACACCAGCACAAAAGTGGCTGGCACAGTGGCCTGATCTTGTGAATTACGTCAGGGGATCTTTTCAACGTCCAGTGTAAAGCAGACAGCGTGCAGTAATAAGTCATTACACCCACAGTAATAATCAGGGCGGCCGCTGAATTCGAACTGTGAACCTCTGCAACGAACAGAAAATGCGCTTCCGCTAGCCCACGTCTCCACCCATTCACCATGGCTGATGATGAAGATGACTACTGCTGACATATTGAAAGACATTTGCTCGTCATTCCACTTTTAACGCAACAACCAAAAGTGGAACAGAGATGGTCCAATACGTACACAGTAGCCTTCCAACAGTGAAGGGATCATGGCTGGTGATGACTGAGAAAGTGAGGGCCGCTGTGCACAACCACACGTAACAAACACAGAAACCGCGCTTGTCCCAGTGGAAACTGACTGCCCTTAAAAACAGTCTACACAGACTACACCGTGTTACGTTTATAGACAAAGTGATTTTACTCGTATCATTCCGGGCCCCAATTCTGCAAACGAACAAGCAGTTCGCATAAGCAGCAAGTTTTCCAAATTTTGTGTCGTTACTCATAAAGTAACGCCGTGAAATGAGACACCACGAGCGTGACTGCGGGCACATTAATTATTCAGCAGCGAGGAGGAGTTCTGTATCACTTGTCGGTGCAGGAGGCTGCAACACAAAGACAAAAATCTGCTCATGTAGACCTATACTGTTGAAGCAAGTGCTGTTCGCGAGCACTTATTGAGACCGTAACAGCCCACGTTGGGGTGATGTGGCCAGCGCCACACCTGACCACCATTTTTTCTGCAATGTTGAAGTTTTACACGCTGCAAAGGTATTAATTTTGTAGGTGGTGTTGACCTAGGAGATAACAGGCTTAGATATGACGTTCCACGGATGCTAGCAGTATCTGGAAACTGAACTTCTGGTAACCAAGATCGTAGGAAAGTGCACAAAAACCAGTGCACTACTATCTTTAACAACACACACAAATAGAGGCCTACAAAAAATATATAAATCAGTCACCCTTACAAAAAGCAACGCTGAGCGTAGTGCTTGCCGCAGTCTGTGTGTGTTAGTGTGCACATGTAAGATTCTACTAGGAAGTTTGCAGCAGCTGCTTTCCAGCAACGATGGGAAATGCAAATGCTCACAACAATGAGCAAAATACCAGGCGGCTAAAGCACATCACGTTGGTACGGTGGCTAGCACAGGTAATGCATCCGTCAGTTATCTCAGTCAGTAAACCCATAACATCAGGGTGTGTTCCATAACCTCCTGCCAGAAATCCTTGAACACTTTACATGGCCTCAAAATGCTTTTCAGGCCATAAATCAAAGAACCGATCACGTGCACACACACATAAAAGGCTAAGATCCTCGTTTCAGGCAGTGCATGGTGCTGGCCATACCACCCCCTTGCATGCCATGCCAGCCTTATTAGGTGCTCACTTACAGAACTTGTCCCAAAAGTCGATAAAGCTATATGTGGGATGACTGGTAAAAGATGCTACTGAATAGTTGGCAGCAGTTGCTATAGAGCAACAACGGGAGGATGAGAAGTGACGCAATTAACAATCATCAGAATGCCGAACGGTTAAGATACAATAAGTTGGCACAGCAGAGAATGCAGGTGGGGCATCTGCAATTTTTCTCAGTGAATCCATAATAGCTATGTCGGTGACATGACCTGCCAGCGGAGCCTTCAACAATCGAAAGGACCTCAAAAGGCATAGATTGGTACATACACAGCGGTAACGTTCCACAACTTAGTGGCAAATAACAGTTGTTCAATAAAGAAAGCTTTAAGTCAAGAAAGAAAATGTTGTATACTGTATTATAAAGACAAAGGTCTCCCATGAAGCCTACAAGGACTGTTTAGGGCAATGGCTGTTGGCGAGTACCCATGTGGCCAACATCACATCCCACCACCTTCGTCTCCCCAGTGCTGATGTTTCCACACCCTACCAGATACTCATTTAAGTCTGCATCAAACTAGGGGAAGGCCAGGACTGGTTCAGAGATTCATCACCAATGTTGACTGTGAGCCCGAATCGAACTCGGGAAACTGGGTTCGTAGTCCAGTGTGCAACCCACCATCCTACTACTCCCCCCCACCACACACTAAACAGTCAGCCATGCCATAAAACAAACAGCGCCCATGCAATGCACTTTTAATATTTATATTATTTTCTTAATAGCGTCATCTTACACAGTTGGCAAAGCTTACACTTCACCTTTACCATAATAGCCACAGCCGTTTACTGTAAACGTCCAGCTCGCTGAAATAGAGGCACTACAAACCACGGGTGAAATTTAAAACGGCGTACGCCACAGTATTAAGAGATGGGCTACCTAATTATTCGAGTAACAGATTACCGTAATCAGTTAAATTATCTGACCAATCGGTAAACACGAAAATAATTGAGGGAAAAAGTGTCACCTCTGTTCCCATGTGCTACTGGATGGGAGGTTATGGGGCAGGGCTTGGGGGGGGGGGGCTACAATGTTTAACAGGGCCAAAGTAATCGACCACAAAACAAGTATTTCATTATAATTGTTTGATGATTACTTGGTTAAATCGACAAAATCCGCAGTTATACACAGTATTAAGAATACAAAGTGTTGCAGGTGTATTACAATGTCTTGGTTAACCACATATGTCATATATGTGATTAGATAATTTTGTTAATTGTTTGTTAAAAAAATAGATAATCGCAGGCAAAAAAAGTAGCGTGATGATGCCTTCATCCAATTATGAACTGGCAAAGCATCGTCAGTTTTTTTCTATGAATTTAGAATGCAATGGGTTGTGACGTCACATTCGAACGTGCCATGCAACATGCCAATCGATTTGCTCACAATTAAAATTGAACTCGTTTCAATGATCCATGACATGACATTTGGACACCAACATGTCTGACTGTTTTCACCACCAACAACACTGACCACCAACATGACCACCAACAACACTGACCACCAACATGACCACCAACACAGTATCTGGTCCACACTTGTCCACCAACACCACCGACCACCAGCATAGAGCTTGCAGCACCACGCAATGCAACCAAACGGGATGGTGAAACACATTTTTATTTGTGCGCCCATAGCAAAAGGCGCTGCATGAATGGAAAAATGGAGAAAGAGAAAAAAACATTTGGGCAAACTGCAAATAAGGAGCCCTGGCCACATGCCCATGGCATCGACACAAACACGGCGCCTGTGCACGAGGGGCGGAGGAATGTGCGGCCCTGCGATCGTTTTTTAATCAGCGCCTGCACGGTGCCAATAGAGGCGACTGCGTGACTGCGATTATAATCATGTCAGCCCTCATTAAAACAATGCGATGAAGCTTAAGATAGCACTGCAGGCACGAAGGGGCACTGCCTGCTGGCACTGTGTATTGCAGTGACACTCTGAGAAAGGTTATTTACTATATACGTATCATATTAAGGTGTTATTACATGTGTACAATGCTGAGGAGGGCAGGGTACCGAGACGGGGCATTGGAGTGGCACTCAGAGGTTGGCTACTTTAAGAAGAAACAAAGCCACATGATGAAGATCATGATGAGACGGTGAGAGCAGATATTGGACTTTGAGTGTAAAACTTTGAAGAGCTCACAATCTAGCATAAGGCAGCCAGGGTGAGGTGTGATTGTATCACATCAACATCAGCCATAACGACCTATTGACCTTGACAATACAGATCTTTAAAAAGACCATGAAAATGTATGTGTTCAAACAAGTGCAGGTCAGGGCACATTTCCGTTGTCAGTCCTGAGTCAAAAATGGAAATTCCTCATTCCTTTGGCAGGAACCTCACTTACCTGGAACAACCACTGTTGACTTGCACCAACTGCTGCAGCCAAAGCAGAATGATTCTCATTATAGCGCAACCTTTTTACACCAACCGAAGCATAACATATAATACAACCCGCATCTAAAATTGAGTCAGCATGCTAGAGAAGGAATGCTAAGTCAATGACGCAAACAACCAGATACTCAGTGTAGACTACATATAGTTTACGCCCAAGACAGGTTCAAACATCTATTGCCACTGCTGATTCGCATTGGCCAGCAAATAAAACAAGTCACACACACCGTTCAAGGTCAAAAGGTTATGACCTATGCTATTTATAATGGCAAGCAGCACACCTTGCCATGGCTGCTTTCTGCTCAATGCATCAGCTGTTGCAGAGTTGATAACTGACCTCCGAGTTCTGCACTGACTATCTTATCAGCGCTACCCTCTGGTTTTAGGTCTTCTCCTTGGTTGCCAACCTCTGGGTGCCATTTCAATGCCTGCCTTGGCAATCTGCCCTTCTCTAACCGACATGTGTCACCCATGACAACCTCCCTCATCCTGATTATAGCTACAATACCTTCTTGCCAAGTTAATTTCCATATCTCCAAAATGCTTACCCAATCTTGTCACGACTTTCCTAGCAGTCTCCACATGCACATAAATTTATGTCCAGAAACTTATTTGACAGTCATGTACAGACACAGTAAGAGCCCCCCAATTACCTTCAACAGACTAATGGGGAAATTGCTGAAAGCAAGCATATATTAAGGCTGACAATGGTACACCCACAACTGCCAGACTGGGGTGACAACGTGACCGTGGTGTATTTTTACAATATAATTAAGTATAATTATTGAATTATGTTGTCATAACAACCATTGCCTAAAAATAATCTGACAAACTACAAACTAACATTATAAACAATAAGCCATTGGATGGTTCTTTGGAAAGATTTTTGTTCCAACTTTCTCATATCCCCCAATGTTTTCATGGGGACCTCACTACACAGTCCACAGAAAAGCATATTTTACAATTGAAATAAAATAATTAAAATTAAACATAATGTGTAGCCATTGTCAAAACACTGCTTGTTGAAGACCTGCCTATACTGTATAGGTCACATTATGTGACCATACTTAATCACCTTGCATAGTGAAGGTTCGTGAAGGTTGGAGAAAGGAGGGACAAGCCATGGTTAAGATATCACTGATGTTAGTCATGGCCAGGAATCAAAGTTAGGTCACTGAGTTCATAACGGTGTGCCAACCAACGCATCACCGCAATCTGAATATGAAATATACATGTGTTCTTAGTAACGAGAAAAAGACACCGAGCTTAGTGATTCAACTCTGACGATTCAAGGAATAATTGTTTTTCTAATACCGTGATGACTGTAGATTCATGGCTGAAGGTTTTTTTTTTTACCTGAGACAATCAAATAAAAATATACATGGTGAAAATAATCGAGTTACACACGCAGAGTTCAATGTATGTTTCATGAGCATAGATATCACATCAAATCAATGAATTGTGACAACGCTGAAGTGTTTTATAAATTCTCTTATTTATGGTGTATTTAGATTTCTTTTGCTGATATAGATTTACTTTCACTTCTGTTGACTTTTCCGATTGTAATTGTGTTTATAATGAAGAATGGAAGCACCTTTGTTTAAAAGCAAAAACAGAAAATTATTTCTCGACGAAAACCTGAGTAAAGACAATGCCACAGTAAGAACAAGATAACACGTGAAAACAGAGTTAAACATCACAACAGATGTTTTAGAGACGCACATTATCACTCACATTTATACTTAACATTAGCAAACAAGTTCTAGATTGTAACAACTTGCTTGTCCATGAAAGGATCACCGAGTCTCATGCTTTTTCAGGAGGGTCCTGCCAAGTTGTTGCAGTACGGGACAATGATTGTTATGCATTATTCCAACGGAGTAATTTGCGGATAAATGTAAAAATAAGAACCACGAAACAATGGCCTGCATTTTGCGAAAGATGGCACAGGATGTTAATGGTTCATTCACCCGAGTGATGGTCAGGGAGGCCGCTTGTTTCGAACCGTGAACCTCTTGCAACAAGCAGCGACCGCGCCATCGCGAGGCCGCGTCATCATGACAGTAAACATAACAACCAGTTCTCGTGCAACAAAAAATATATACGCACACATTCAAACATTACAAACCTCAAGTATAACAGTAGTTGTAGTGGAACTAATTAAAGCGCATTATTAAACATCATAAAGAGCAAATAAAAGTTGTCGAGTGTAACTAATTAAAGCACAGAGTTACCCGTCACGAATGGCAAACACCGTAACAGAAAAAGGCCTCAAGTTCAACACCCCAGGTCTCCTTCGGACACTCACCTGCTTTATAAAGTACACGAATACAGTTTCAGGCGATACACCATCCCAGTCAATAAAGCTGCCCTCTCTCTTCGCAATGGAGGGCCATTGCCTGAAACATTGGAGCCTACTGTATACGTCTCTCCTACGAGGAAGTGTTAATAACACAGGCAAGGTTGCTTTTAAGTCATTGCCAAAACGTCCGCTTGTTTTACAATCTGAGATAGAATTTACAAGGCAGTGCTTGTTGTTACTGATCACGCAAGTGAGGTGTTGGTATACACAGCCGATGCTGTAATGAAATTCCACTATTTAAAGTTTAAACAACGAGGGCCTGGCTGATGAGCTGTAGAGGCGCCAGACAGGTCTTTCACGCTACTGTGCATTAAGCAACTAGAGCCCTGACTAACAACGATGGCGCAATGCTGACTTTACGGTACATTACATTTCCACAACCCAAACCAACTCTGCCGTCTTGGTAACAGCCAGACGGGAGAGCGGCGTAAGTTGTGGTGACGGCACGTGCTCCTCCGTCTCGTTATGACGTGCCCTACCAAGGTGTTCTCTCTTGGCTCTAAAATAAAGTCTATTTAATTTATCGGTTTATATCCAGAGGACAAAGTCAACAGCGCACGATGACCTCTAAGATTTCACCATTTATGAGCGCAGTCTTGAATAATGAATGAGAATTTACACAACGTAATGACTATTACAGGGAGGGGAGTGGTGGCGCAGTGATTTCCGCACTGCTCTGTGAACCCGCAGACCTAAGATCAATTTCAAGCCACAGCTAACATCAACGGGGATCGATGTTTGGACCAGTACTTGGACTCCTCTTTTTACCAATCCTCGCTGACCAACGTGGGCAAGTATGGCGAAATAATCCCCATGACTGTCACAGGACTGAGAAGGCTTCATCTAGAAGTCAGTATTTGGCATTGGGCTGCAAATCATTATTATAACTGGTTGTTACATCGCAGCACTGTGGGAGATGGCGACGGCTTGGAGAGGCCTTCATCCAGGAATCGACTGATCAAAGATGATGATTAGGATGCTTAGAATTGGGTTACCTACCCCTTACATCACATTTTTACTGCCGATATTTTTTTGCAGAGATTATAGATGTGTGAGAAGCAAGCAATTACTCTATAGTCACAGTATTATGATAAAAAAAATAATGTCCTTTATCTTTCCAGGATAGCCTCAATGGAAATCAAAACCACATTTTAAGGAGGAATGTTTGGCCATTGCCATGATAGTTTGGCTGGTGCATGTGGGAGGAAACCGAAGAACCCGGAGAAAAACCATCAGGCATATGAAAAATAAAACTACTCAAAAGCTCTGCTGAGGGCCAACCATGGGGGGGAAGAGGGACCCGGGGCAAATCACACCGCGTGGGCCCCCCAAACGCCTTCAAACTAAACCGGAAGTATTATATCTGACACCATGACGTCAAAGCGGCCCCCCCCCCGTCACAAAGCACGGGGCTTTTTGTGTTTAGTTTGTTGCCCTTGCCCCGCACTTCCGATTAACACGGTTGGCTACGTATGGTGGCGGACGACGTCTTGGGCGCGTTCGCTCCATTAACTGTCACTCAGTCGTGAGTCTCCACCATCGGACATTCTTCTTTGACAAACGAGCAATTCCCCAATCCCGCAAACGTTCTCAACAGTCAGGATGATGTACAGGATTTAACTTTGCTGCGAGTTTTTTCTCAATGATCCTCATTCTGTCTCTAAATGTAAATTCCAAGCATGCGTCTCTTACTGCCTCTTTGCACATTTTTTTCCTCGATAAAATCCCAATTAAAAGCAATGCAACATTCAAACAACCTGAACGCAGCGTGGTCACGGTGCTGAAAAAAACGCACGTTCATGTAAACTGCGCGACTTTGAAAAAAATAGCAGAATCATCCATTAATGTGTTGTATTTCTATGCGCCTACGCCGATGCTCCCCGTCTTCACCAAACCCACAATGACCAGCGTGGCGATAAACCATACAGTATATTCAAATACCCCCCCCCCACGACCCATACGGCTAGGGGACGATCCTCATCGACTAATTGAGTGTGAATGTAGTAGGCATTGTTTGTAAATGGACTGAGCGATGGTGTAACGGTGAGCGCAACTGCGCTCTAAACCTGGTGATCCGATTCCCGAACACGGCTAACATCAGTGGCGAGTTGATAGCCTAAACTTCCCTAACCCGCACCGAGATCGGTGGTCGAACACACCAGGTCGATACGTACGGCGTGGGAACGGCCCTCAGTCTCTTACACACAACGAAGCTCTGGGATTATCACTCGTTCAACACAAACACAACACTCACAAAGTTTAAACGTTTAACCGCTTCCCAACTAAGCTATGTCACGAGTCCGTATGTCTGTAAAGGGCAGGGGGGAGGCATGATAACTCCCTTAAAGACGCTGAAATAGGAACGAAACTTTAGAATGAAGTTGTTGCTGTTGAGGGAATGACTATAACGTACAGAGAAAATTTCGGACAAATTCATAAAAAAAGCTTTGGCGCAAACATTTGGAGCCGGCGATCCAGCGATAAAAAGAGCACAGAGTTGAAGGGCTTACAAACGTGACCTGACAGCTACACATGTCGGCTGCCATGGTGGTAATCGATACTTCCAGACACAAACCGCATGTTGGCAATCGTTACAGAACCCAAAGCGTGAGCAACAACTTTTCCCATCTTTGATGATTACTACTAAAACTTTACAAAAACGATTGTATAGGCCCGTAGCGCTTGCACTATAACATTCCCTACATCATGTACGCATAGCAACAAGGTATTGACCAATCGCAGACACTCCGGAGACGGTCACGTGAGAGCGCTCAACCAAAGGGCGCCGAGGAAAACAGTGGGGACGCCTATCCGCTGTGTGAAAACAAATGGACTTAACCACCAGAGGTAAACTGAGGTAACGCCTGAAATAACACCGCCGCCGATTGTAACTGAGGAAACACCACCACCATCATCTGAGCTAACGGCCACCACTATCTTACGTAACAGAGGTAACACATGACCACCTCGACCTCTGTCTGAGATAACCGAGGTTATGCCTGAGGTAACAACTCCACCCCCTAAAGCTAACAACACCAACACCACAATCACCACTTTCTCAGGTAACGCCACCGTCGGAGGTAAACGCCGTCACGACTGAGGTAATTGAGATAACACCACCGTCAAAAGTTAAACGAGTTTAATACCAGCACTACCGTCTAGAGGTAACTGAGGTGAACCAGGTCACCCGTACAAATGAGACTGATCTGGTCTCTTTAGTCACCTGGTTAAATAAACTTGTCTTAACACCACCTCTGTTACCGAGGTAACACCACCACCATCACTACCTTAAGTAACCGAGATAACATGAACACAGCCTGAGGTTACTTGAGGTAACACCAACACTACCTTCGATAACTAAGTAACACCACCACCACGGAGGTAACTCCACCACCACCGCCGCCTAAGGTAACTCGGATAACCCCGCCACCACTTAGTTAACCTTCGTTAACTGTGGTAACGCCAACACCACCACCGCCGCGGCCGCCGTGGTCGTCGTTAGTTTTTATTATTATTAACCACGGGTTCACCTGCGGCTGCGGCGGCGGCCCTCAGCGCTCTCGCCTGGCAGGGGCCCTTGCGGCGTCTCCTCTCGTCGCGAGTTCCCAGCCCCTGCGGGAGGGGAGGGGAAGGGGGGGCCCGGGAACGCGGCGGCCATCAAAGAGCAAGCCGCGTGAGTGACGTCACGCGGGAATGACGTCACACGCAGGGCGGTGGTGGGGGGGGCGCCGTTTCGTCAACTCGCCCAGCGGTTTTTGCAACGTCACGTCGCGCGGTTTTCAGATCGCTCGAAACAAGCTTCCTCCGTGACGTTAGGCGTGGATGACGTCACACGCAGGGGGTGGGAGAGAGGGGGGCGGGGCGCCGTTTCGTCAACTCGGCCGGCGGTTTTGTGACGTCACGTCGCGAGGATTAGTTCTGCTCGAAACGAGCTTCCTCGTGACGTCACCAGCACTAGTGACGTCACGAAGGGATTCGTCACACGCAGTGGGTGGGAGAGAGGGTGGCGGGGACGCCGTTTCGTCATCTCGCACGGCGGTTTTGCGACGTCACGTCGCTCGAACTGAGCTTTATCGTGACGTCAACGGCGTGAGGCGACGTCGGGGACGTCACGCGGGGAACTTATCCGGCCGCTGGTTCTGAGCGACGTCACTCGCCCATTGTCATTCCCCATTGTTCGCGGAGAAGAATTGTGACGATTTCTGTTGCGACTTACGCTGCCCATGCCTGTCAACCCATACGATTCACCCCGTATTCTTGTACAGGGAAATTGAGTTTTTCAGGTCCATACGGCGTGCAGCCGTTTTCAATGCGGGCAAACACATTTTTTGTCTATTTGATTGTGTTTCCCCCTTGTGATGGGACTTTGCAGGGTGAACGTTGAGATTTATAAGGGCAACGGGGGCTGACCAACAAGGTCTAAATTGGTCTGTCATTAGGTAGGCAGCACTGATAAGGGGTTGCCAGGTATGGGAGAACGACTCGGGAGGCGCGAGGAGGAATCCCTGACGAGCAGAGAATACAGCAGCAGGCACACCGCGAGCCGGCACGAACAATTGCCCACGCTCTGTGGTCCTCTGTATATTAAGGTGTTATCGCCCGATTCGTGAGTTGTTTATGCACGTGGGAGGAAAACCTGAGCACCGGGGGGGGGGGGGGGGGGGGGTACTGATGCTGTACTGCCTTCTCCTGGAATTGAACTGTACCGAGATTTGGTAACGGTATTGTGTTGAACTTTCTTGCGGTCAACTTTACAGTCCCGATGAAAGACCGAGTAGGTGGACTGCTAATTATTATGTGCGGGGTTGATCTGTGGAAAAGGTGGCAAGCCTCCAAGTTCCAGGTCCAAAAACATAATTAAACAAGGAAAATAACTAAATAAGACTTAATTCACAGCAGAACCACCGCATTGCATAATAAAGATGACTGCACGGATGTATTGCAAAACTAAAATGTTATTAGAGCTTAATCTAAGTCCTAATAATAGATAAAGATAACAAATTACACAAAAGCATGATACCCTTTCAACATTTATTCATCCTCAAATTATTCTACATTCCATAACCACGTGTGAAAAAGTGTGAACCTTTAGATTCAGTCACTGGTGACGCCCCCTTGAGCAACAATGACTGCAACGAAGCGTTTCCTGTAACCATTGTTTAGTCTCTCACATCGCATGAGGAATTTTTGGCCCATCCCTTCTTACAGAACTCCTTCAACTCGGTGACATTTGGGGGTTGCCTTGCATGGACAACTCGATTTCGGTCCTGCTACAACATTTCGATGGGGTTTAGGTCCGGACTTTTGACTCGGGACATTGTAAAATGTGGAATTTCTTCTTCTACAGCCATTTTGTAACTCTGCTTGTATGTTTAGGATCATTGTTTTGCTGCAAGACCCACTTTCGGTTCAGCTTCAGCTCACGGATGGATAGCCTGACATTCTCATCTAGAATCTTCTGATACAATGCAGATTTTATGGGTGTGTAAAATTATGGCAAGCCGGTAAGGTCCTGAGGCAGCAAAGGATCCCCAAACCATCACATTCTCATCACCATGCTTTACGGTTTGGGCTGAGGTTCATCTGTTCAAAAGCAGTGTTTGGTTTTCGCCAAACATAACGTTTCTCAGAGGCCAAAACATTATTTCACTCATCCGTCCAGAGAACATTGTTCCAGCAGTCTTGTGGATCATCGATGTGCTCTTTGATGAATTACAGACGGACAGCATTGTTTTTTTTGGAGAGCAGTGGTTTTCTCCTTGCTTTCCTTCAAGTCTTTTTCTGATAGTCGAGTCATGAACACTCACATTAGCCACGGTGATAGTGGCCTGCAGATCCTTGGAGGTTTCTCTGGGGTTCTTTGCGACTTCCTTGATTTTCGGTTTGTTCTTGGAGAGATTTTAGGATGATCGCTCCTGGGTAGTGACTGTGGTCATGAACTTTCTCCATTTGTAGACTGTCTGACAGTGGGTTGGTGGAGCCTCAAATTGTTAGAAATGCGTTTGTAACCCTTTGTGGACTACTGAGCATCAATAACTCTTTTTCTGAGGTCCTCGGAGATTTCTTTTGATTGTGGCATAACTTGTTTCTACACACCTGTATGGTGAAGCACACTGGCAAAGTCTGAACTTTATATAAAACTTCCTAAACTCACTCCTTAAGATCTACCTAATTATTTAAACACCTGATTCTAATTATTCTTTTAATTGAGTGAATGGAACCAGGGATTCACTTACCTTTTCACATACCCTGAAGCTTAAGTACTCATTGTTCATTTAACGTATACATTTTGTTTAAAATGCATGGAATTCGTTGCTATAAACCAAATTGGATGGGTTTGATTCAAGAAGGCTATCGTGGTAAAACTATGAAATTTCCATAATAATCATTGGGGTTAACAATTTTTTTTCTCAGCACTAACTGCTACGTGACATACTCTATATAAAATAATTATCAAACTTCCCAAAAGCACTCCAACCCACCTTCTTACCTCATCATTTGTATCTGACTTTTTAACTGCCCCTGGTATAAATGATCGTGAAAAGCAATGTACCAATGTCTCTAAGCAACGTGTTTAATCATTGAGTACGGATGTCATATGGACACTTGATGAAAATATAAAACATTTAATTGTGCAAAGAAGCAAGGAGAGACACATGCTTCTGATTACACGTAGACGTAAAAAGAAGAGTGCTGATTAGACAACAAACACAGGTTAGGTACAGCATATTGACCGTTAAGAATAGCGGGCGTAGGTAGGACACATCGCTCGTCAGGACGCTGACCGGTGGGTGATAATTATTGCTGAGTGGCAGCCAAAAACGACCTGGTGGGCATCTACCACGGAGACAGCGCTGAGATGTCGTGGGACCACGATGGATGGCGATGCCTTGGCGAGGCCTTCATCCGGCAGTGGATTGATCATGGCTGATGAAAATGACAACAAAACCACTTGCATCGCAAAATAAAACGAATTGTTTTTTTTTATTTTAACGTGTTTTCAAAACAAACAGCAATATATTATCAAAACAAAATGGGTGGACACGAGTGGGGAGATGTTTGGACAAGGTTGCCAGATGATTCCCTGCTCCCAAACCCTGTACCCCTTTGGCTGGACCCCTAATCAGCTGCCTTTGTTAATGCACGTTTTCATTAACGAGGAACTCTACTGAGGGCCCGTGACACTTGCACACTGCACTTTCCCTTGCACGGATTCTCACACCTCCATTTTTGTTCCTCCCCATACTCCATCCATCATTCCGGGTTTACTAATCACCACGATTCAGCAAAGTTGCACGTGGCAAAAACACGCAAAGGTGGTTTTGGGTACGAGGAGCGCAGTTCTAAAAATCACCTGCACAGATGTTTAGTTTACATGCAGTGGCATAGTGGTTGGCATGGGCCTTGGTGCAAGGAATTAAATCGTGTCCTCTGTCCCAATACCTCCACCCCTCTTGGAAGCCCATCCCGTGGGCCCTGGTGCAGTTGCACACTCGATAGCTACACCACTGGTTGCAGGGCACTATGGGAGACGGCCCAAAATGCCGTGCTATGCGGGGGGCCGCTGGCTGTGTGGTTGTTACATGGGGGCGATCGGACAATTCAAATACATCAATGCAGCTCTTCTCTAGTAACTACACACCTTGGCTGTGTGTCCTGGGCTGTCCCAGATGAGCTTGCAGCTTTGTTAATAAAAAAAACATGTTCAAGTTGCAGTCAAGTGCGTCATTATGGCACTCTAGTGAGGTTGCCCTCACGTTTTAAAATGTCAATAGTAACATCACCATACTGAAACTTTGCACACGTAGAACCCATGTCAGTTCATTGCTGGATGGTTAGCCTCCCCACGCCATGCAGGTCGTGGGGGTTATTTCACCAAACTTACCACGCTGCTCAGTACGGGTTCAAGGAGGGAGCATAGACGTGGTAGCCGAATAGTATAATAGTACAGAGCAGCGAAAGATTGTTACACTGCCCTCTACTGCCCACCCCACAACGTAGCCTGACAGCCACACTTCTCACGAAGCTACAACCTGGTGTCGGACATACCCAGGACACACAACCTCGGTGTCTACCAGAACAAAAGCGCCGTTGTTTTCGCCGCGTGGTCATTACCAGCACCGCCCGTCATCCCCGCCGACCAAGATGCAAAACCGAAGACTCCCAGATCCCCGAGCGAGTGTGTAACACACGCGAGCCTGTGTGTCAGGCACACCGAGTGTGTAACACATGTTACTGTGTAACACAGCGTGTAATACATGCCAGTGTGTAACAACGCGAGTGAGTGTGCAACACACAGCGAGTGTGCAACACATGGATATCACATGTTGATGACACGAGACAGCTTCTGCACGCGATTCAGCAGCAAGTCGCCCTTCTTGATTGTCTCCTGGTACTGCCAGTTCTTGCTGTCTGGTCTGATACAAACACACATTAAGAACCATTAGCCT